TCAAAAGACAAGCTATCTACTAGGTGCGAATCACTGACTAACTCTCTGCCGACTTAATGTAGGCAAGGCTTGTTATGGGATAACAGCCGTGGCACAGTGGGTTTACTTTGGATGATGTCGACAGCCCAAGACACGGAGAGGCATGCTGTCTCTGTGTTCTATATGCTTGGGATGTTCAGGCTGAAAGTGGGATGGTACAGAGGGAAATGTATCAAATGTACATATGCTCATTGCACTCCAATCTCGGGCAGGGGAGCTAAGGGTTATTTGCATGTGTCACCATAATTCCGACCTTGACAGAAAGAATTGTAAGGGGCTATAGTGATTGCTGGTGCTAGACTCACTGGAGGTTCTCTTGAGGATAGCTGCAAGGTAAATCTCTATAATAATTACGCTCGCTTCTGTAGACGTCATTGTGGTATAATGCATCTGTGTTGAAAGGTGTCAAGAAGACCTCAAAGTTGTGAAAGCGGTTTGTTGACACGCATTAGCGTTGTTGACAGACATAAACATGTACCGGTGTGACAAGCATATGCTTGGGGCATGTCCGTCACTTTTGCCTTGATTTTCACTTCAGCTCTGTCATCGGTGGTCCGCTTTGACGCGATACTACAGTTTACTGGTCGCTATTAAAAAAGGATGGCTGCGTCTTCTGCCAGGTGGTGTCAATAATGGTAAACATTGAATTGATGTCAAGTGCATGGGCTTATTCGGACTAGTTTCATTTTCGTTGAGGCTGACAGTCCCTTTCGTGGCTTTACTGCTTGTTGGTTGACAGAAAAATAAGGCGATAGTATCAGAAGTATTGATGCACATTATACAGAGGTCTATCTGTAGACTGTTCAGTGTATTATAAAAATAACTAACTATGAACTAGATGATCAAATTACTGCATCATTAACTCCTTCTTATTCGTTTACCGTTGCACAGTATCTTACAGGATGTTTGTTTTGTGGTTGAGTGGGGAATGCTTTATCTCATTACGAAAGATATTACGGTGGAGTTTTTAAAGATTTATTAGCTCAGCCACTTGACTTTGTAAATATTAGTGTGTCAACTCTGTTCATAACCCCGGAAATCTTAATTTTCGAGTGGAGGTTACAAAGCTTTGTAGGGAGAACTAGGGAGTCAGAAGGGTAGAAGGCCAATGAATTAAATTCAGATAAGCTTCTGAAGTCACTGGTCTCGTTTTAACCCTCATATTCACAAAACAGCCTATGTGACTGAAGGCAAATATCATATTCTGGTTTCATAATGGGAAGCATCAGTAACTGGGAAGGACTTCAGTATGCTAGACTTGACCACATCAAATATAATTTCGACAATTAACTCTAATACAATATGCCTGCCTAATTTCCATATGGTTATGTGTTTACTGAGACAAGACAAGTATCTTGAGAAAATGGAACTTACGTTCATGAAAATAACCATTGGAAATACTTTATTTCAGACGTCACTGTCTGATTTTCAAAAGCCCTGTGTAGTCCCACGTAAAGTTTTTAACAGTGGGCATTTGTCTTATACAATATCAATTTCGAGTGAACCAAAAAGCAGCCCTAAATTATTTTGAGATCTGAAGCTGAGATGTCACAACGAACACATAAAAGCATGTAATTCATATCCCTTATGATGTAGTCTACTCATAGTCTGAGAAATGCAGAAGCATCCTAACTACATGCTTCATTGTAGCTAGTTTTCAGCCCAACTACTTCTGAACTGTCCGGTCTTCTCCTAAGACATGACTTCAGTGGTGTTTATACCACGTATGCAGAATCCTTCATAACTACTTACTGACTACGATTCTTGTTTCTTTATCTTACACAAGGGCATAGCAACCAAGAAAATTAAACAAAATCTCAGAGTATTCAGGGTCCAGTAACTGGAAACCATTTGACAGTGTTTTTCTCAGTTGGGTTACTTTATTCTTAGTATGCTTGTGTAAACAGGAAGTTATATCTCTAATATTAGGAATATATCCTCAGCTCTTCAGATCAAGAACTGAGTTTGTATCCATTTGTCCGTTTCTGTTTACCAAGGTTTCAATATTTGCTGTTCGAACTTTGTTTAAATTAGGAGAGGTAATTCAATAACTAGGATACACTATCGCAAATATATGAAATAACAATGAGTGAACAGAATCTTATTTGCCTGCAACAGAAACCTTCGGAAAATCGATCACAAGCCATTTCTTATCAATTGTCGAAGATTTTCAAACATTTGTATCAGTTCACTAGTTTAGACGATGACTTGGTTTCATACCTACAGGCTGCAAAAGAAAGCGAAGATGAACAGCATTGCTCCTACATAAAGGAAGTTGAGGATGTGAGTCACTTTAGCTCAAAACAACATTGTTAGGTCCTCAGAAAACATCAAGGTGTCATCAGTGCTGTAGATGCAGCAGAATCAAAGATTAGGCAATACAGTCTTACTACAAGACTGAATCAAATTCCAGGAACAGATAACTCATCGATATTGCAACCAACCAACATTTTTGATCAAAATGAAGTTGATGGTTTGAATTTTATTTGTTAAACGCGTGTAGATTCTTTTCTCGGAGAACTTGGACTTCTGACGAAGGAAGACATTTATTTTAATGGCAAGCCTCGAAATCCAAGTATGAAATGTTTTATTTAAATTACTTGAGAATTTCAATCAAAAGTCACTTCCGTGGCTTTTACCACCAGTATTTATAGGGTTTTCGAAAATTTTCTAATTAATAAGTAAAGACATGGTATTTATCGATTGTTCAAAGTCGTCATGAGTGATTTCTGATAAATACCAAGATTATTGGTTCCGTATTGATTGTTAAACTTATGTTCTAGGTGAAATTTAGTGTAAAGTCTCTCGTACTGAGCAATGAAAACGGTTATTAACCTCTCTAAAGCAGTGATAAATTACCCGATTATTGCTTCAATACTTTAGAATACCACAAAATTAAATGCTGCGAATTCTGGAATACTGACTAAAAGGTCCTCATAAGTAGAGATGAACATTGAATCTTATATTTGTATTGCTGATCTTCCCTAAATACGAAATCTGATAGAGTTTCTCAGGATGCTGCAAAATACCGTTACATCCTTGCATGTAGTTCATTATTTTCTTTTTAATTCCCAGGATAAACAATAAAATATCATTATTCTATTCTTTTACAGAACATGGTGCCATGGAAATTTTCTAGACACAATACATATTTAAGGATAAGTAGCAAAACGACTGATTCCATTAACCAACTCGTTTATTCGGTAAACTGCATCAGTTCTAAAGGATCTCTGATGAAGTTGCGACACATAAAAAGGGCCTTGTTTGACACTTCCCAATGATCGTCGTCTTTGGTTCAGGCATGAACACTTTAATTATCTGAATTTGGTTGATTTCTAAATGTAAACAGAATAATTCCATCTTGGATGTCATCGTTGTTATGTTATGAAGGCACCTCGAGCTTTCCTATTAAGCGAAAGTTTCCTTCTTGTGTTTTACACTAGGAGGCACCACATAGTGCACCCCAGACTTCTGTAAGGGACATATCTTAATGTGATTTGTGTCTTTGAATTTTTGGTGAAGTTTAATAGCTACCAGTACTTCCTTTAACATTTCAGTTAACGATAAATGTAGCAATTTATCAATGAATGGTTACGTCTTTATCCTCAAAACTGCGGTCACTAGATTTTATCAATAGGTTACTCCGATATACATATTTTTGAATAAGCGCCATTGAAATTAATATAATCCCACCAGATTACATTACATTCCGAGTCTTGTGTATTGGCCATAGAGTTAGTTGACTAACTGTTGGTCTCCCACTTGTCAGCATCATGTTTGTGGAGGCATTGACAGTGTTGCATTAAGAATACCCATAGGATTTTAGACACTCTACTCAGTTACGGTACCTATTTAGTTCCAAATTTTCGGTATATATAATTACATATATATATGCTGACATTATTAGCAATGTAAATATCCTGTTAATTGCTTTTTAAGTCACTATGTAATCTAAATTTAAAAAATAGATGCAGTATTGTATTGCATGCTGAGAACTCCACATTATCAAACGTGATGTTCGAACTAAAGTCAATATTACCTGTTACATTCATTTCCTTTGCGTTCATATGCATTCCTTCGAAATACGATAACTCAAATTGATGCACTTCTCTGGAAAAGTATTAGTCAGGGATTATTTGTCTTTTGGAAGTTTTATGCATTATGGATTATGTTGTAAAGGGTTGTGTTTCATATTCATTGATGAAACTGTCAGGACAAATATCCCTGAGTTGTTTTATAGCGAACTTCTCCCTTTAGAAATTGTCTTCGCTAGTAAAATATGGCGTTACAAAACGACAACTAGATTTCTGCCACACTCTTTGGATGATAATGTTAATTGTTTCAGATCTTAGTGCATTTTTCTCAGAACATGATTCTGAAGTTGTGAAAACTAGCTGCAGCCAACAAACTGTATTTCATTTGTCTTTGCTAAGTAGAATGGATACCATTTATGCGTCGTAATATCCTACTGGTGAATCCGTCCCACACTCGTTGCAATTTATATCAGATGAAAGGAAATTACTTGAAGTAACACAGTTATTGTGGGTTGACACAAAATAATCTAAACTATTAACTAGCCTATAACTTATTGCCGTTGTTTCTGCAAGATAACTATTTAAAAACCAGTGGATCGCGTAATTTGGGCTTTCCAATCTGGACTGTTTTATTCGGTCATATTCTCCTCACTTCTTATTTTACCTTTCAATGTCCGTTAAAGCAAAGTAAGCTCGTAATCGTCGTGTATTTCGTAAAAGACGAGTGTATGAAGTGGATAACAATTCAGATAAGGTGCTGTAACATAAACAAATGTAACCATCATCTCTGTCATCATTATGTATAATCTTCTTAATATTTACACTGAATTTGCCTTAAAATAAATTCCTTCCAGTAAAAATTATCATCGTACATAACTTTTACTGACAATTACTCACCCATTTAGCTTTCTGCTGCATTCTTTCAAAATGCAAAAAGTGCCATATTTATTATTTACCACACTACTGGGTAGGTTATTGATGACAGCTTTGAGTATGAAGTTAGGGTGGAAGTTTTTGCTCTCCACTTACTTGAGCACCACACGAATTCCAGAAAAAATGTCATCCGGAGTTAAGTATATATGTATGTTTTATATTTGGAAGAATCAGAACACGGAACAGTATCTTATACACACCTTTCTAGTCACATTTACAATAAAAAAATAATTTCTAAACGTCAATGAAGTATTTTATCTTTTCCTGAAATTTTACAGGTTTCCCTATTGCAACAAATATTTCTAAATATGAAGAAAATCAGGATGTTTGTAAACTTCCTTCGGTAGTGAAATCTTCCCTCAAAGTCAAAGGCAAAGCAAATGATCGGAAAACGTTTAACTCTAAGAAATACCCGAATAATGATGCAGTAAGTTCTTAACTTTTATGCATAAGATGAATTAAAAACCTGAAGGAAATATTTTTGTCTATTTCAATGCATTCCTCGCTCTTTTGAGTTCTGATTAAAACATAAGGCCTTAGGTTTCCAAGTTTCATTAGCGATGGTGTGGTCTCTAGTGGGAAGGGGTGGGAAGTTCTCAGACTCATTCCTAACCTTTCCGCGCGTCGGTGGCACAGTGGTTAGGACTCTCGCCGACCATGCACATGGTCTGGGTTTCGATCCCCTGCCGATGCACACCTGATATCAATGGTCGGCCTGCAAAATTTGGGTTACCGATATCACATGCTGAAAATTCCATACCTGTACCAAAGAAATACTGTGTAAAATCAAGCTGTAGTCAAAAATAAAAAAAATCAATCGATTAGTAAGCTTTTGTTTCCGCGCACGATTAAGTAATACCTGTAACGACAGAAGACAAGCGCCAGGCAACAGATTGTTTACTAGGAAAATCAAGAGATATTCATAGATTTTTATGTCCATTATTGTCAGCGGAGAGGCACCGTCTTCTGATTGGTTGTTTCCTTGCTGAAGGTTGTTCTGTACTCCTTGTGACCGTTTCTCAGAAAGTTAAGCCATATATGTGTGAATCGTATTTGTACACGTTAAGTCTGCCGCGGTTGGTTGGTGAGTTCCTCAAGGTTAAGCTTTGTTATTGTGGTTTGCTCTCATGACCCTGATTCCGGACATAACAGCGACGTAAATTGTTGTTTACAATTTTGGCTTGTTCGCAGCCAGCTATCACCACACACATGTAGCTGCTCTACTTTGTAGGACGAATATTTATGAAAATTGAGGTTTTACAAAGAAATTACGGAAAAGACATCTTGCAAACGTTTTCACAAATTACCCTCTATCTCTCTTCCTTTATGCCTGGTAATCACAGTACTATTAAACTTATGGTTGCAACTATTTATAAAAAGTTAATCTTCCTTCAACTAAACAGATAAACTGAATAGAGTTAACATATTATATACTACACTATTTGGTGATGCCACATATCAGGTGATTCACAACGGAAACGTTACTAAAATGTGTGAAGTGAGGACAGAAGTAAGACGAGGCTGCCTACTGTCACCACTGATATTCCTGACTGTGGTAGGTTGGATCGTGGGGCACAAGAAGATGAAATGACACTAGAAGATGATTACCTGATGTTACACAAACTCAAAGGTAGGGGAGGTAGAGAATACAGGAATTCGAGTGAACATAGAAAGGACAGAGGTAATAAAGATATTTGGCCAAGAGAAAACAAGCATCATTGACTGTCAAAGGGAGAAATCTTAAAGAAGTCGCTTCTTTCGCTTACCTGATGTAAACAGCATTGTTTCATCTACAGACTGCAAGAATGAGATTGTCGAAGCCAAGCAGGGTCAAAAGATAAAATAGACCTTCCATAGTCTCAAAAGAATATAAAAGTCTGCTCCATTCAGTGTAGAGACCAAGTTCCGTATTTTCGGCACTGATGTCAGTTGAGGGATTAGGACACACATCATCAGAAGCATTTTCAACAGAGTGCTGGATACTTTTATACTGAAGATCAAGTGGCTGGCCAGAATGGATAAGAAACAAGGAAATTAATATATGTGTAAAACTTTGGCATTGTGGTAGTAAGTAATTCCATGTTAGTTTGTTTATTAGATGTATTACACAGTAAAGAAACGGTATTATTTACTGGATGACATAGTTTCGAACACAATTTATTTTGGTTCATAGTCATATCAATTATAATCACACGACTTCGAAGTTGTGTATATATACACCTTTATATACACGTATACCAATAAATATGTCTGTAGACGCAGTCAGAAAGAAACTCATTTCTGACCAAGAACTCGAACTTAGGACGAAAGTGCCACTTAAGGACGTAGTGCTGGGAGTGGAGCTATGCCTGACTTTCACAGTATTTAAATTCCAGGGGGAAAATGTACAAACAAACTGAGGGAGTTGCCAATGGGGTCACCAATATCCCCGGTTGTGGCAGATATATTCATGGATGGGTAGGAAAACTTAGCGATTGAAACGTTCACCCCCACCCCAAAAGTATGGTGGAGGTATGTAGATGACACATTCATCACTGTACTTAGAACACAGAATAAAGATAGATATATACAGATTTTTCGAACTTATTAACCCAAACGTGGGGGCAATTCAATTCACTTATGAATTGGAAAGTCAGGAAGGGGAGCTTCCAATGTTAGTTGTAGTGTAAAAAGGAAAGAAGATGGGAAGTTAAACAGGAAACCCACAAATTCAAACAGATATTTGGACTTCCTATCATCCCATCCTATTTCAGTAAAAATAGGATTGGTGAAATGTTCAGGTGATAGAGCACAAAAACTAAGTAGTATCAAGGAAAATCTAAGACAGGAAGTGAAGCATATGAGAGAATCTTTGAAACTTAATAATTAACGTGATAAACTAATGAGGAAGTATGCACGGAAATGTAAAAATAAAACGAATAATAATGGTAGTGATAGTGATAATAATATTAATGACGACATGCATGCTAAACATGCTCAGGATAGTGACAACACCAACAATAAGGAATCTTAATCATCAGTAGTAATTCCATATAAGGAAGGAACCTAGGAAACCACGTTATGCAGAATTCTTAACAAGGCAGAGATAAAAGTGGCTGGCATTCGAACCCAAAAATTCAATTAGAAACAATCTTTGTCGGTTAAAGGATCAATCATGTGGGGCCTTTAAAACAAAACAATTTAGTTTATTTAATACCCTGCTGCAATGATTTTCAGGTCAAATACATAGGTCAAAGTAGTAGAACAGGGGTAGTCAGACTAGCTGAACATAAAAACTTAGCAAAATCTAGATTGGTTGACCCGAATAAGATAAGAAATCTAGAGAATAGTTCAGCTATAGCACTACGTGCAATTACACACAACCATACAATAGGATGACAGTTTTAAAGTGTAATGTCACAGGGTATAGGGAGAGATTGGTAACAGAAGCTTTGTTTATCGAATCAACTGCAAATACTTGTAATAGGAATGATTCAACACCTGTTTGCTCAGAGATCTGGTAAATACTACTACTCCTACGACGACAAATAGGAGAGAACAAAGGAAACTATAGAACTCAAGTTTCGAAGTCGTGTGATTATAATTGATATGATTATGAAGTGCAATAAATTGTGTTCGAAACTGTGTCATCCAGTGAATAACACTGTTTCATTGTGTGATACATCTAATAAACAAACTAATATGAAAGAAACACGGAACTTTGATGACGACGCAACCAACAACGAATATATAAGGGGAAATGGTGGTCGAATGGAAAACGACGAGTTGGGTGTTGGGCCAAGTATGATATGGAGAGAACCGTGTGATGGGGAAATGAAAGCCAAAATGATTGAAGAGAACAGAGTAAAATACAGAAGTGCTGGTGAGTCCATTCATTCCACTTAGAATCCAAGGGAATAACAATAGTAACTGCATAGCAAGGCTAACAGCTTGGTATTCATAAGTCTCATCAGTAAGCCGATAGACGTATAATATCATCTGTTGAAGTAGGAGATTTCAAATTTCATAATTTACTGCTAATCAGGAAATAAATTTGCTTATCATTTACAGATATTATCAAACCTAGACTTTAAATTCTCTCAAAGATCAACCGTTTCAAGTAGTTCAAAAGAAAGAGAGGACAAAGTTTCTTTTGTGGCTGAACCAGAGTCGATTGTTTTCAACGCTTATCAAGTAGGAAACATCTATGAGGTAAAAAAAATTATGCACAGTTTAATACCAACTCATTTATTTGTAGACTACTGTTAAAATACGCAATGTTTCACAGACTGCTCGGTCGATTCGAGTTCTGCCGCCTAAAACAAGCTATTTTTCTATAAATGAAGGTAAGTCTATGATAGTACTTAGGACATTTTTAGCAGACACAGTTTATATATCTACAAATGTATTTTGTATATTGTTTATTTTCAAATATATAAGCAGATTGGTGGATGGTGCCTAGCAGCGGAATCCAGGACGCGAATTTCGTCCTATTTAGGACTCGTCATCCGGATGTACCCCCATTCCGCAGTGAGTGGTGATGTTCCCACCGAGGACAGAGCACTTCTGTCCAGTCAATCGATGGGAAAATCTAAAATTGGATTAAATAATTAATATAACCCGTTGCACAAGAGGTGGCTCTCGTGGCCCAAGTGGTCTAGTGGATAACTCTTTGGCGTTTGAAACTATGGGAGCATCATCACTCACTGTGGAATGCAAGTACATCCAGATGACGATTCTCAAATACGAAGAAATGCGCATCCTGGATTCCGCTGCTAGTAACCATTCACCAGTTGACTTTAGGTTACATGATCAGACATCGTCGAAGCATCTGCCCAAGAAGCCGTCATGCAACCTGATCCCGAGCACTTTGGTCCAATCAGTCGACGGGAAAAATATATAAGCAAATTATCATATTACTCATAAGTACCATAAAATGAGATTAGCAGAATATAGTCCGATCGTAAATGATTATATAAAGCGTGAAAAATGCCTCATAAAGCTAAGATCAATAAATGAAGTGTTAAATGTCTTCAGATATATTTGTATAATTAAGGTGTATGGACGATCCACTGAATATTTCGAACTCAGAAATAATCGAGATTTGATGAACAAGTGACTGGCACAGCGATTCTCGTCACTCAGAATGCACAAGCATGTGACATTCTGAGGAAATTCTTCAAGGTTTGGTATCATTCTTATGCAGAACAGCGATAATAAGCTTCAAATGACGAATAAACTTTCTTAAATAGGGCAGAATAATGGAAATAGTGACTTGAATTTGGTTTGCGAAATTGCATTTAGAAATTAATCTAATGTTTGATATTGTTTGTGAGGAGACAGGAACACTCTGGACCACCGATAAGAAGACTCTAAAAGATCTGGATTTCGCAGATGATATATATCTGATGTCACAGAAACTCGAAAACTTGCATGTGAAAACCAACAAACTGTCAGAAGAAGCAGGTGAACATAGAGAAGACGATGGTGATGAAGATAACCAACCAGCTAACCAGCGACAACAACAACCAGCACCAATCTACATCAACGGGAGAGATTTAACAGAGGTTACTTCCTTCCTCTACTTATCTAGGAAGCATTGTTTCAACCACAGGCGGATGGCACGGATGAAGATGTCAAAATCAGCCAGCCAGAATCGGAAAGGGAAGATACGTCTTCATCAACCTGAAACCAGTTCGGAAATCTTCTGCACTCAGTTACCATGAGGAACATGATTCGGATTCTCATCTCAAATGTGAAGTCAGTCAAACAGTGCTTCTATATGGGTCAGAAACTTGCACTGCGTGTCACGAAAAGGATTTCCAGTAGCCATTTGCAGACTTTTATTAACAGCTCCCTCCGCTCCATACTGAAGGTCAAATGGTTATCTGGCCAGAAAAAATAAGTAGCAAGAAACTCAGGCTGGCAACAAACCAACCAAGATCCAATTACTCAATAAATATGCATGAGAAAATGGAGGTGGATCGGACACACATTGAGTAAACCGTCGAATGACATCGCGCAAGCCATCGCTTCAGTGGAATCTCAATGGGAAATGACGAGTCCTAAGTTGACATGGAGGAGATCGTGTGGAGAGGAGGATATGAGAACTGTGGGCACTTGTGGCTCCAGCTGAAGAAGATGGCAGGGAATAGACCAAATGGGAGATGTGTTGTTGAAGCCCTATGTTCCACCCGGAACCCAAGGGAATAATAGCAATATATAATACAGTTTAAAAGCAGTAACAAATGAATTTTCTGTATGGTTTCATTGTTCAAAACACGAACGTATTGGTGAATATAATCTCCTTAAAATGAAGTGTGCTAGTGTGTTGGTAGTTCTGGCGTCAAATGATCGCTGACCCCTTACGTGGATGGGCTTCGATTCCCCACTCTTAGATGTCATCTAGTGTACTAGCATGGGAAAGGTGCAAAGTTGGACATGAGGTCAGCAACCCCACCTCGTGGAAACAGTACCACTGCTACATAAACCTCAGAGCTTAAGGCTTCAAGCCATTTATTCCACTGAAAACTCCAAACAATATAAAGTTATTTTTCTGTTACCTCTTACAAGGTATATTCTTCCGCTAGCTTATTATATCATTTCTAACGTCTTCATCGTTAGTAGACGCAGTATAACGGTAGCAATTGAAAAGACTAATAATAATAATGATAACTGTCTGGAATAAATTGAATTCCAGCTGTTTTAGTGGGATGTATAAGCTAGAAAATGGCTATTCCTCTTTCTAAACTGTTAGTCAGTTGAATTCCATGGACCAAAAAGACGAAAGGTATCATTCACATGTCTCACCAGTGCAAACGTTTTCATATGAATTGCACTAAACTCTAAAGGTATACTGTGTTCAACCTCAAAAATAATGAATTTTCAAGGGTTCTTGTGAAAAATATACCGTGGATTGTTACATGACTTAAAAGTTTATAGTTCATTTAATTATTTATAAGAATAATTCATGTGGTGTGACATGAAACGGAGTTTCTTTATTTTATAGGCAAATTCCCACTTCCCGGCAGTAGTGTTATCGCACCTGGAATGGCTGCAATTTTCATGCTACGCTTTTCACCTGATAATCTTGGTGATTTTGATGATGAATTCATAGTGAAGTATGAAAATCAATTGGAGCCGTTGAATGTTAAACTTTTGGGAAGGAAATCCCGTCCACGTCTTAATAGTGAGTTTCTTATCTATTATTTTCAATCTTGCTCTGCGTTTTATTTTTAAGAAGAAAAAAGTTCAGAGAAGAGTTTCTTTTCGCCGGTAAATTCATTTATATATATAATTACTCTTTGTGTATGTGTATACATTAGGACTATAAGTATAAAACTTGGGCACTTGGGTAATGATTATGAGCAATAGTTTGTGCTCGAAACGTCATCAGTTAATATAACTGTACTACACTGTGTGATTTATCAAAATAAAATCTTATCCATTATGGAATAATACATTAGGACTGTCAAAGGAAAACAAAAATTGGTTGGTGGATTTCATCATGAGCTGACATCAGTTAGACAACCATTGGAAAAGCTGCAGGCATTACTGCCAGACAGCTGTTTCGTCTCACTACTTCGGGACTGGCTCTTCATCAGTACGCACCCACCGGTTGGCGTTCGAACCCAGGACCTTCTTGTTACAAGGCTAGCGAGCTCGTAGACCATTAAGCCACTGAGACGTGATCCAGAGGCCCATGAATTCTAACTTCTGCCAATTCCCGACATATCGTGACCACTTAGCAATGTTCTCGATGAGTAACTGTCTTCACCTTCGACCTGCTGTACCCTACTGGCCACGGCTTCCCATCGGAACAGGACCAGTCACTAGTGAGCATCAGATCAATTTTCAAGTATAGGTTTGTAGGGCTTTCTTGTTAGAAATCATAGGCCATTGGATCGGATCCCAGTGGTCTAATGGTCTACGAGCTGGCTAGTCCTGTAACCGGGAGTTCCTGGGTTCGAGCATCAACCGGTGTGTGTGTTGCTGAAGATTCCCAAGCTAGTGGGAAGAAATAGCTCTGTGGCAGTACTCCCCGATGGCTTTACAATGGTCCTCTAACTGAAATCAGCTCATGATGAAATCCTCTAACCAATTAGACATGAAAAATAATTATTATTTAGGGTTATTGTTGACGCCAAGAAAATGTTTCAAAAATGTGACGGATAATCAAATCGTAACTAGGGGTACACAAGATATACACAGGGTAGAAGGAGGGGTGGAGAAGTTTCTTCTGTGTGCGTAAATCAGAGTTTTCTATCCGGATTGCTTAGGCCTCGGCAATGCAGGGCATATGGAAGCCTACCATTTTCGGGAGGCTTCTTTTAACTTTGTAAATGACTTTGAATGAATTCTCCGTGCATATTGAGTGACCAGTGTTGACTATATGTTCAATTATATACCACTCATTATTGTTTCACTGTTACCTTTTCGTAGACAACCGGGATAATGTTCTTTGACTCTTTTGGATAAAACACACATCGAATGACCTACATATCTCACTCGCTCCACATGAGCAAGCAAATTGGTAGATATACATAGAAGTGGTCAAATGTGATAGTTTATCTTTGGAGTTGTTGAAGAACAATGGGCAGCTTGGGAATACCAATCATAGTGTAGCAGCAGAGAATGTTCTTTTCAGGGTGTTAGGTATTATTCTCTTTAAGATGCCTGTCAGAAGGTTGCCTTTGAATGCCACATTCATGTACAGCATCTCTTTCGGCGCAGAGATAGGTTGTTCGTTGGTGATTTTGGGCTTTATATGTTTATCTACAAAGTGTGGTGGAGAGCCATTCTTAAATAGTGTCTTTCTCAAAAGAGGGATCTCCTCTTCTACTGATTCGGGGCTGCAGAATCTGCGGATTCTTGTCACTTGTGATTGATGGGTACCCAGCTGGAAAAGTTTGTCATCTGACCGTTCCGTGTAGGCTTTCGATATATTGATGTCTCCAGAGTCCTATCAGTCTTTTGATGTTTGGCAGTTTAAAATGATACGCTTTTTGTCAAGATTTCTACCTTAATTCCTCAGACGTTTAGTTGGAAGGCGTTATAGAACAAATCACACACAACTGGAATATAATATTTTGGGTTGTCGTTTCACATCACTTAGAAAGCTTCCCTGCAATAGCATTAAAAAGAAGTATTTTAGTATTCGGGGATTAAATGGATTTCAAAAGTGATTACGAAATTATTTCATTTAAAGAACCGTTGAAAGCCAGGGCCAACGAGACGACTGTTTCGTCCTAGTTGGGGACTCTTCATCAGTAGAGACAATGGGATGCAGTCCTTTAGCCTATGAATTCTAACTTCTGCCGATTTGCGATAAATAACGTGACTGCTAGCCAGTATCATCAGAAAGCATTTGTCCTGAATCGTATACGAGCTCACCTCGTAGCCTGGAGGTTCTGAGTTCCATATCTTGTGGGATCATTGGTGATTACTTCTGAAGTGTCCTAGACTAGAACGAAGTATCTCTCCATTACTCTTTGGTTTCCAATAGTTCTCTAAATGCAGTCAGTTTGGAGCTCAGCACAACGGTGCAGCAGTTCAATCTTCACCACTTTGATGAGGCCCAAATAAAAGCAGGTAAAAGAAATGCAAGGGAACTGTGACAGACGAAAATGCAGAAGAAATGATAATTGAACCATTGACTAGTAACATTTAGAGGACCTTAACCAAACATTCTACTGTGAATCAATATTCGATACGTGGACACAATGTCTCCATAAAATATGTATCTCACATTACATTCATTTTACATGGAATGTTTCCTTCCAAGTTAATTCACTACAAATTGTCTAATAATATCAGTTTGCATACGTCGGGTAATTATTAGCGTTATAGTATATACTACTGATTATTGATATGAGTAGATGAAAACTAATCACGGCAAAAAGGATTACCTTCTATACATTCGTTCTGGGGTTGATGTTATCACTGTTAGACCTGGTTCAACTCAGATCACACAGCCAACCTAGTTCAACCAGCATACACTTCCTTTTTATATGTGAGAGGTTCCGAACTACTAGCATCACAATCAATAACAACTGGTACATGCCATTATAATATTTCACTTGTGCTTTTTGCCCGCCATTTATGTCTATCTAGCAGATCACATGTTTTGATCTTAACATAATTTTGATTTCCAAAGGGAACTATAATGACCTCGTACCTCTAACTGTTCAATTTTCAAATGGTGACTTTGATATTTAAGGTCATTTCTTGGATACATTTAACCTGATTAGTACTCAGAGGCATTATTTACTGAGAAATGAATGAAAATAAATTTATAAGTTGCAGCTGAAAATACTTTTACAGCTCCAGTGTAGGAGATTGTATATTTTTGATTGAACACTAGTCAGTATCCAAATACAGTCCTACAGGAGGTCATTCGCGAGCCTGAATAGCTCAGTGGTAACGTCTATGACTGCAGCACTGGGTGATGCGGGTTCGAACCTCAGAAGGGACATCAGTTCCTTCAAGGTTGCAGATACGCCTTGCTGATGAGTGCCAACTAGCACGAAACCTAGGTCCAAGGCTTCCTGCTGATTGCCTCCAAACATCTAATACCAACAAGATTGTATATGCACACTTATGAAAAATTACTTAGTGGATCCCGGTCAATATTCCCGTTACCTATACACTTGAAAAAATCTCAGAAAGAGCACTGGATGCATTGACACGCAACCACACTATAGGGTGGGTGGGACAGAGTCAACATTCTAAAAAGTATTATAATACTTTGATAAAGCTATTAGCATTAAATAGCGAAACGTCAGTAAAAACAATATCGTTTTGTTTTTTCATTCATTGGGAAATACAAAAACCTTTATTATTCTAAAAAGTAATTTGGGTAGGTGGAGATAAAGAGAGACTGATTACTGAATCCTGCCTGGATCATCGAGACTACACACCAAACATAACACAGGCGAAAGAAGCGACTGAACGCAAATGCCAATGATATGGAAGATATTATTACCACCAGTCAAATCAGAGGAGGATAATTAATGATGTTAAAATGTATTCAATTCACATACTTGATGACATTCTAACAAGTTATTTATTTATTTATTTTACTATAAAAACATTTTATTTTCCGTCTGATTGTATTTCACTGATTACACTAATATTATTATTTCCGAATGTGCTTTATCTTATAGTACTTATTTTATTCAAATGTTTAATGGCATCAATGTTTACTCATGTATATAAATTAAGCAAGAAATTTGTGTGAGTGAGTGCCTTGATATAATTATGACTGGCAATGATAATTTGGGCTCGAAACGTGGTGGCATCAGTTAATATTACTTTACAACACTGTGTGATTTATCAGAATAAAATTTTATGGAGTTATACCTATACACTTGTGCATTGGTGGCACAGTGGTAAAATGCTTGCCAACTACGCCCCATGTGATCCGGGGTTCGAACCCCAACCGACGCACTCCTTTACCTTGATAAGCCTGTAATAAGACAGTTTCCATAGAATAGGTTCCTCGCGATCCTTGTTCGCCATCAAAATGTGTAAGGTAACTACTTATGCTGTTTTATGACTTGTGTATAAATATCGACAGAGTTTCAACATAGAAATTTGCACATAAGTACATCAGTTCAAATCGCCACGCTTCATGTAACACACAAAGTTAGAGATACGAAAGAGATTTATGTGGAGCTATAATGAGCAGAAACGTGCAGTAGAAATCTTATTAGCATAGAAAACTATGAGGGTTAAATGGACACAGGAGATCGCGAAGAGTCAATTTTATTTGCCTCAGTGAAAACGATTCTGATCTGTATCACCAATAGTGCCAAGTTATTGGTTCCAGGTATCCGAACGACCCTGACCAAGCAGTCTATACCTCTCTATGTGGCTCAAAGCAACTAGATTATGGTTTGAATACCTCTTATTCTTGCCCGAGGAAGAAATGGAGATGGATTGGCCATACTCTGAGGAAACCAGCAAGTGACATCACTAGACAAACCATCGCTCGAATGGAACCCGAAAGGGAAGCGGCGAGTTGGTCGTCAGTGCAAGGGTGACTTGGAGAAGGTCATGTGAAGAGGAGATGAAAACGTGTGGGCAGACTTGGAGCCAGGTGAAAACGGTGGCAGAGAACCGAACTCAATGGAGAAGCACGGCTGAAGCCCTATGTTCCTCTAGGAATTAAAGGAAACAACATTAATAATAATGATATTCTTGCCCAACCCAACCCTATGTCAGCGAAGACTGCTTGAGGAGAAAGGCAATGGCTCGAAACGCCTGTCACGTTTTGTAACCATCTCAATCAGTTTAACTTCACAATTTCATCGATTCAGTTGTCCTCCTTAACTAGCCATCTATGCGGCTAACCTCCATATTACTCATCCTGTTTTTATTTACCACTTACCAAGGGGGGAAGAATGCAAAGCTCTATGGTTAGAGACAGTTAGCCTTTTCCTATCTTCCACTCTCGAAGACAATGTGTAAATATAAAAATCGATTTCAATATTTGATATTACAAACTGCAATCATTTAATTACTTCACCCTGGGTTTCTTTTCACATAACTATTCAGTACATGAATGCTACGATTTGGGTTCTACACTGAAAGGCAGCACAAAAGTGAATCATATACAAATTGAAAATTATAATCCAGAAAGTGTCTCTAGTGGAGAATTTCTATTTATAACTAAAGAATTATTTGATCAGTGTTCAGTGTTTGATGCAAAGAAATTCGCCGTAAGTAATGCCCTTTAAGTGTTGTTTTAAAATTATTATTAATAATAGTATCAGTAAATGTAATTATTAAATGATAAAGTTATTTGCATATTCAAGTATTGGTTTTTAGGGATTTGATTGATTGGTTACAGGATTTCATCATGAGCTGACATCAGTTAGAGAACCATGGGAAAACCAACGGGGACTACTGGATACCAAGTCGGTTGTGACGACAAATACTCGTCAGCGATGACATTGGCTAGTGATCCCAGGGGCCTAATGGTCTACGAGCTATCTCGCCTTGTAACCAGAAGGTCCTGGGTTCGAGCCCCAACCAGTGGGTGCGTACTGATGAAGAATCCCAAACTAACGGGACTATACGACTGCCTGGTAGTACTCCCTGCAGGTATTCCAATGGTTGTCTAACTGATGTCAGCTCATGATGAAATCCTGTAACCGATAAAGTTATTTGTTTTCCAGCGCCCGTGTTTATCAAAGGACCAGTCAACTAAGGTTAAGTCCCTTCTTCACAAATCAACTAGAGCAGAGTGACGCCTTTAAGGAGAAATGCATGTTTGGAGGTTTTTAAGTATTCACATCTGACTTAACTATAATAGGTAGGTGAGGTAAAAACCAGTTGAAGGATAGTTAAGGATCAGTGGGTGTCATAAGAACCCACAGTTTGCTAGTCATTGATATAATTCGATACCACTAACTGTAAACTAAAAATCCCTATTTAGGCATTTAGAAAACAAGAGGAATAAGGGAAAAAGTATTCATTTTTGAATTAGATCCTTATCTTTACATGAACTGTGATATATACAGTCATTCTTAATACGAGACAGAAATTTACCAATCTATTGGTGATAATCAAAAGGTCCAGGGTTCGAACCCTGGTGGTGGAGGCGCACTGATTAAGAGCCAGTCGCAAACTAGCAGGACGAAACAGCTGTCTGGCAATACTTCAGGTTTTCCAATGGTTCGCTAACCAATGTCAGCTCATGATAAAACCCTCCATCCTGTTGGTGATAAGTTTGTTGACAATCATTTGTTCAATATTTCAATATGTCAAAGGGTTGATAAATTAGCCGTGGAAATTAATGCAACAAACAAAGGGTAGAAATACTTGCAATAATTAGTTAAGTGGATTACGCAGTCAATTATTTTGGAAAAATAAGAACCATAATTAAGAAACAAGTGAATAAGGAAAAGCACATGAACAGGACAAGATAAACACACATTTTCATAGCTTCGTTCCTATCCAATACAAAAGAAATTTGGTAAAGACCCTCAGCCACAGGGTTAGAGCTATATGCTCAGAAGACATGATTGAAGATGAACTTAGCATTGTATATGATACCTTGATTGAAAATAGCTATCCCAACAAATTCATCAGGAAACATATGACTTAGAAAATTGAAAAGGACTATTCACTATCCGTAAACAAGAAGCCTTTATACATAAGACTGCAATTCAAGGGTGATGTACCTAGTGAAATAATTACGAAGAAGTTGGGAAAATCAGTCCAAAGAACTTTTAATGCTGGCAAATTACAAGTCTTATTTTCTACACGACCGGTAGTAATTCCTCAGTTGAAAGATGAACTACCCCGACTAACCACTTCCTATTGTAAGATTTAATAGTGTGAAATATTCCCATACCATGAATTAAAAGTCACTCTGAACTAAGAATATTCTTTTCAATAAGTTCTCCTCTTCAGGTTCTTACAGTTATCGAATATAATATTTATTGTCGTTACAATAATGATAGCCAGTTAGGCGGCGGATACATTTTTAACGTAGAATAAGAGATTAGTTATGGGGTGTCAAAATAAATAGTCGTATTTGTGTGACAAACGTGCTAGGCTGAAATCGATTACAAAATATTTCGGTAAAATGGGAGACAATGTGGTGATTAGTCATAATAGATTTGTAAAGTTTGGGGTAGAACTCTCTAACTAGTCTGTTATTCTACGTCAAAAAATGTATCCGCCGCCTAACTGGCTATCATTATTGTAACGACAACAAATATTATATTTTATAATTGTAAGGACCTGAAGAGGAGAACTTATTGAAAAGAATATTCTTAGTTCAGATTGACTTTTACTTCTAATTGTACCTACGACTTCAACTGCGCTTGTGGTGAAGCGAGTTATGTTGGGCGTTGCTGTAGGAAGTTGGTTTTTCGTGCTCGGGAACATCTACCTGTGTGGTGAAATAAAGGTGTTATAAGAAGGATCAACAGTTCGGCATAAGACCACCTGGTCCAAACTGACCGGCCACAAAGCCAGTGTTGAAGAATCCTCCTCTTTCATCTACCGGGTGCCGACCAAATAAATTTTCAAAAACATCCAGGTACCGCATGCTGCGAACAGCAGAGGCTATCGCCACTTACCTTAAACAACCGGTGCTTTCCTGTGCAAAAGAAGCAAGTCCAGCTACTACTACTACTACTACTGCCTTGACTGGCCTTCAGTCGAGACTTTAAATTAATGAATTTGTAATATTATCTTTCCTAATTTCTCTGTCTAATATTCAGTGTGCATTGTTATGTTGACACTATCGAAGTGTAATCCACTGGTATTATTATTGATCCGACGTTATTTAAATAATATTAATGTTGGTAATGACACTAATTCATTCATTCATTATTATGTATATATGTACCTGTAGAACGTGATGAAGAGCAGGTTATCGAAAAGAGTATTCCTTGTTCAGTAACCATCCTTTTGAAAAATAAGTGCATACATATTCAAACCGATTAACTAATAAATTATTAAAAGTTGAACTTGTCAGAATAGTAGAACAGCTACTAAAATGATAACTACTCATAAGTCCAGAAAGAACTTGACGGATATTTAGTTGAAGTTTGGGACTCTTCAGTAGGGTAGACCCTAGACCTCACCATGGATTGAACCCCGAATATTAAGTTCACGAGACCGAGCGCACTGTCAACGACCTGGTTTGCAGGTAATTAACTAATTTCAAACTAGGACAAAATGACTGTCCAATCCTCGCTGGTGTCCAATGTTCTCTATAACTAATGCTGACTCATAACGAAATCTTCACTAATCTAAATGCAGAAATTTGTTTTTTTTTCTGGTATTCTTTATTTATTGAAGGAATATAATACACTTTGTGAGACGAACGACTCATCTCGTCTCTGTTTGGAATCATTTTCAATTGAACCTGTACGATTTACTCTGGAAGCGTTAAAGTCAGTTACCATAAGAATTGAATTTAAACCACTTCACCTGGGAGAATATCAATGGGAACTTGTATTAATCTGTGATAATGGACAATTCTTTCCAGTATTATTTAAAGGTATTCTGTTTTACCTATTATTCGTTGAATCATGCCAGTTAAGTCTATTTCAGATAGTTCCACCATTAATGAGTGATTTAATTCTCTGCTTGTAATTTACTATGATTACAAATAACAGGAGAAGATAAGAAGATAGGTGATATCCGTTATGTTTGAAGTAGGGTCTTTTAGCCCAGCTGATAAAGTACCTGAAAGCGACCCAGAGATCCGCGTTCGAATCCTGTTTTCACTTGGATTTTTATTTTACCTTTAACTACCACTCATTACAAAAATAAGTATTAATACACACAATTAAAAGGTAGAAATAATTACAACACTTGGATTGCATAATGCATAATTTGAGAAAAATGAAGAGTAATTAAGGAATAAGCGAGTGCGCAGGTTGATTATGTAACATATTGTTAAAGAAAATAAAACGATTTGGACAATGATAATATGTAACTAAGGGTGAAGCAGTCATAAAAATAAATTAATTTCACAAAGATAACACCTAATTAAAGATGAAGTAGTCAGAAAATGTAGTAAAATAATTTGGACAATTATAATTTTCATAATTTTCAAAGGTTTAGAAGGAGGAGGGTCGAAAAAGTCCGGTTTATACATTCATGTATCGATGGCAAAGGTAAGGAAAGTGGTTGTACAAATTTCATCTGAACACACACAGGTTTGGCTTGTTCTTAAAGGGGATTCCTATTGCTCCAGCTGTATGTAGAAGACGAACTCGTAAAGCAAAATTAAGATTAGTAGGAATGCAATAAATAATTTTAAATGCTGTATTAACGTCAACCTTATGCTCACTATCTACAAAGTGTGCTAAAATAGAGCTGCTACGAATAAATCTTGTTTGTTCCTTGCTTAACCATGCTGCAGGATGATGTTCGGAAATACGATGATGAACCTACCTTAATTGTACGCCCAATGTAGCTGGCCAATTTTATGTAGTTTATCCTTATTTCTCGAACGTAGAATAGGGGTGGTTCTGAAGAGACAACGTATCTCTGCTGCATAATAAGCTCTTTTAACTGCATTCTTCGGGTGCTGTGTTTTTATTTCGCTGATGTTGTCACTGAGGAACTGCAGTTTTATGAACAATGGTTTTTTCCGAACTGTTGCCATACTGACTCTCCTAGGTGCTGAATTTATATTTTTCTCAATGAACATATCTGGATAAGCATTTTTTTCTCCAAGAAATTCTCTAATAATCTTAAGCTCCTCATTGAGGCAGTCCTCTGAACAGATTAACCCAGCTCTATGAACCAGACACTTTACCAGGTTACGTTTACATTTCAAAGGTACAAAACTCAAAAAATGAGTGTACTGACCTGTTGTTGTAGGTTTCCTATACACACTCCTTCCTAGTGTGCCATCTTCGTTTCTTTTCTGTATTAAAAATAAGAATTACTTTAAAAGAAGGAGAGCAGTTATTTCTTAACAGTTTCAAAAGAAACAGAGGACAGAAGTATAAGGCCTCTTGATTGTTAAAGGTTCTTTAAATGACACTTATCATATCAAAATTAATCTTAGAATACATTGAATTAATGCGAAGGCCGTGATACTGCCCCCTTAGCGCTGAGGCCGAAGAAAGTGACTGCCGCAAGAGGCCATCCCTTGAGCCTTCAAAGTGACGTCTACTTCACAAGGCAATGGGACAATGTCGTCGGTGACTAAAATAGATTCACACACACCATCATATCCTTCTGGATTTTGGAGTCCATATACACCATGGGTTCAGAATCAGGGTTTACCAGCTCCCCTGGGTAGACATACATTCTCACCGGTCCTTTCGCCTGTACATTTCCTTCGCTTATTTTTCTATGCTTATGTGTACTATATAAAGTGTGGCAACTCGAACGACTACACTTTTGTGCAGTATCCTTTGTTGAAAATTCGTCTGAGTTCAGTTCTGCCGATAATTTTCAATTGGTAAGATTTACTTAGATTTTGAATTAAGTAATGTATTTTACGTCTTAATATATATATATATTAATAATATGATTTTTTTTTCATCCCCTGACCAATGTTCAATAGGCTTTAGTGAGGAATTAAAACTGGAGATGATGGATACTACTAACGAAAATGTCAGTAGTTCATTAAGAAAAATTGCATGCGATTCAAAGGAATTATTTTATTTTTATCAATTTCCAATACAATATCCGTTTACTGTTGCTCCGAAGACAATCAGAATATCTAATTTCTGGTATGTAAATCAGAAAGTTTATCTCTTAGAGTAGATACATATTATCCTTTTCTTTACACCTCATACATTTGATCGTTTCCTTGGGTTCAGAATGGAAATTGGGACTTCAGCAGGACATTATCATTTCACACTCTGTTCTCTTCAGTCTTTCAGCTAGTGCCATGATTGTCTATAAGTCTTTATTATTTTCAACCACTACCTCTTCCATATTATTATTATTAACAAATGAAGGTCACTGACAAAATGTCGTTAGTACAGGAGGAATTACTACTGTAACGATAGAAGACAAGGGCCAGGCAACAGATCGTTTATTGAAGAAATCAACAGATATTTATATTTGAACAAAGATAGAAGAAACATTGGCGCAGAATAATCTGGAATAATTTTATTTCGTTGGTTCTCATTAGCTGCGTACAACCTGAATTCTTTAATAAAATAAGAAATGTACAATTTCAACAAACTTTAGTCCATTAGCAAGCATATTGTCAGAGCGTCATAGCGCTGCGATTTACAAGGTGTCTAAACTGTTACGACATATTTATATACATATCTTGTTAGAGAGAAGCTCCTCAAGAAAAAAATTAACAGTTGTGTTGTAGGGGTGGTAACAAAAGAAAATTAGTAATAGTTACGTAATTAGATAAGGGATTAAAATTTTAAAATTTCGGTGCACATGAGTTCAGATGAGAAGGTGATGATGTAATACAGTGAGCAGAACACAGGAGATCAAGAAAAATTACCTCTTAAGAAAGTTAAGCGAAAAACAAAGGGAGGGGGAGTGAAAAGATAAGTTAATAAAATTCGAAAAAAAGAGTTACTAAGATGTGAGTCACCAGGGTAATTGAAGTCCAACAACGGATTCTTTTTGGACACATAAGTCAGGCTTCAATCGTTTTATTGCTATACCTTCAGCAAACCTGAGAAAACTTGAGGTACTTTGTCTGTTAATTACTTTGAATGATTCCAGCACATCTACTCAGTGTCCTGTGTCAATCAGGTGTTTAGCGACTGAAGAGCTTAATTAATTCGGTCTCTTTAACCAGAGGCTCCTTGGTACATATTCGCAGAATCTGACGTAGGCCCTCGTCTCTGTTCTTCCAATGTAACTGCTCCCGCAGATACATGTGAATTGGTATACACGGTTGGAGGTAACATGCGAGGGATACTTGTCAATCTTTGACTGCACCAGCGAGGAGGTTGCATCACAAAACTTAGGTCCAAGTGCTAAGATTTGCATTTGAATTGGAGATAGTGGAACATCAGAATAATTGAACACGTATTTTTCTAGACAAGTAGGAAAGACGGTTTCTTTCGCAACGGACCTTAGGCTTTGGTTTAGTTTCATAATAACATCATCTGTTCTTTTCTTTGTAACCATATTGGAGTATTTTTCGAATGATGTTCTATCTTCTTCAGATAACTCATAGAGGACATGGGAGTTTTTTGAGATATTCTTCTCTAGCTCAGGTAGTCTTGATCGCACTGCATCGATATGATTCAGAGTGTGTCGTTTCAGTGTACGTGGATTACGGAGATATGTGATTTCGTCTGAGATGCTTCCAAAATACTTTAGGATATTCATGTTTCTCGAGACAATTCTTCAAGAAGAAAATCTTTGCATTCGCCTCAGCAAACTTGACGGACAAACGTAGAAACGTGTTCAGTCCCTTTACCGTCGAACGTTCCTTGCTTCCCTTCAAATCACGGAATATACACATCGGATCATAGGAATTATTAGAAAAGACAGTTGCAGTGAAGAAAATTTTCGACGAAGTCACCGTCAGCTAGGCTGTACATTCATGTATTTATAACAAATGGATGGGAAAGTTCCAGAATAATTTCCGGTTAAGGGTCAAATTAATAAAATTACAATTAGGAATTAAAATGCCATAATAAACAGGAGCATGGTTCATCGATGCAGTGCGATCAAGACTACCTGAGCTAGAGCAGAATATCTCAAAAAAGCTCCCACATTCTCTATGAGTTATCTGAAGAAGAACATCATTCGAAAACTACTCCAATACAGTTACAAAGAAAAGAACAGGTGATGTTATAATGAAACTAAACAAAAGCCTAAAGTCCGTTACCAAAGAGACCGTCTTTCCTACTTGCCCAGAAAAATACGTGTTCAATTATTCTGATGTTCCCCTATCTTCAATTCAAATGCGAATCTTAACACTTGGACCTAGTTTTCGTGATGCAACGTCGAAAGTGAATGAACTGAACACGAAAGTCCAATCCTGAAATTATTTTGATAAGATTATAGAGTGTAATGTTAGTGGGTTGGTTGGTTGATGGTAACCAGTAGTGGGAACAATGACGTGCTTTTCATTCCATTTGAGACCCTTTTGCTTGGCGTACGTGCATTCCCATTGACTGTTGTTGTTGTTTCACCCATTGTTTTAAACTTAAGAGCCCACTTTATCAAAACCCTGAACCACAAAGACTACTCCTTGTGCAACAGGTATCAGTTGTTTTTTGTTCAAGTGATTTTGAACTCCCCGTTGATTGGTTGATTGATTACACAGAATCCAAATCCTGTGTCTCTGATAATATGTCGGCTCCTTGTATGGAAGCTTTGAAAATGCTTTACGATGAACATAGTATTATTTGTTTAATCTTTAATTTTCAAGTATTGGTTGTTTTGTAGGGATTTTGTTTGATTGGTTACAGGATTTCATCATGAACTGACATCAGTTAGAGAACCACTGGAAAACCTAGGAGTACTGGACAACTGTTTCGTCATAGTTTGGGACTCTTCAGCGGCAGGCGACCAGCACCACGGTTTGAACCCACGACCTTCTGGTTACAAGGCGAGCTCGTAGACCATTGAGCCACTGGGACCCGATCCAATGGTCCTTGAATTCTAACTTCTGCCAATTCACGTCATAGCGCGACCATTTCGCAATATCTTCTTCGATGAGTTACTGCCTCATCTTCAACCTGCTGTACTTTTACTGGTCACAGCTTCTCACTAGATGTCATGAATTGGCAGAAATTAGAATTCAAGGACCATTGGATCGAGTCCCAGTGGCTCAATAGTTTACGAGCTCGCCTTGTAACCAGAAGGTCCTGCGTTCGAACCCTGGTGGTGGGTGCGAACTGATGAAGAGTCCCAAACTAGGACGAAACAGCTGTCAGGCAGTACTCCCAGCTGGTTTTCCAGTGGTCCCCTAACTGATTTCATCTCATGATGAAATCCTCCATGTAATGTTTAATTGTCTTATACTTTACAACAAATGTTCAAACTAGTCATTATTTTAAGTAAATTGAAAATCCCCATGGAAACGCTTAGAAAACAATCAGTTTCCTATTAACGGATATATGAGGTAACATGTAGTATTTTCTTAACGTTTAATATATCATTTCGTCACTAGTTAAGTGGCGATTTCTGTTTCGTCCTAGTTTGGGACTCTTCATCAGTACTCATGCACCACACGGGGTTCGAACCCGGGATCTTCAATTTTCAAGGTGAGTTCATAGACAGCTAAGCCACTGGGATCCGATCCAATAACCAACCCATAAATTCCAGCTTCTGTCAATTCACGATATAACGCGACCGGCACTAGCCAATGTCATGGGTGGTGAGTATTTGTCGTCACATTCGACTTGCTGTACCCCACTGGTAATGACATCTCACTAGAACCCAGGTAACTACCTACTTGAATAGGGCCAGTCACAGAAGTTGAACCCAGTGGCTTAATGGTCTACAAGCTCGATCTCGTAACTTGAGGGTCCGGGATTCGATATCTGATGGCTTCATGGATGAGTGCTACTAAAGAGCCTCAGATTAGGAATACATAGCTATTCAGGATTCCCTAGGTTTCAGGGATTCTCTAGATGGAGTCACGTAGTGAGCTAACTTGCGATTTGTAAACTTTAATAGCAGGACAGAGGGGAGAATGAATGAATGGATTTGTTAGCAATTATGAACGATACAAAGAGGTCAACTGAATTATTTAAAATAATAATACTAGCAATAATACCAATTTAGCTTTGATTGGACACTAGTCAGTAACTAGTGTAGCGTGTGTGTTTAGTCCTATCTTTGGTGCAGACTGAATTCTGTCAGTCTACTTTGCAATGTGGCCACCATTCTAGATAGCTCACCATCGCGATGCACTTTGAAGCGTTGATATTAGATGTTTGGAGACAATCGACAGGAAGTTTTGCTTGACCTGCGTTTCGTGCTGATTGACACTCGTCAGGAAGTGCACCATGGTGGTGAGCCACTTATTATAATGGTGGCCACATTGCAAACTTAACTGACAGAATTCAGCCTGCACCAAGCAAAGGACTGGATGCATGATACCAGTTACTGACTACTGTCCAATCAAAAGTATCCAATACAGTCCTACAGGAGGTCAGTTGTAAGCCCGAATAGCTCAGTGGTAACCTGTCTTACTGGGACACTCACTGGGTGACGCGTATTTGAATCTCACAAGGGGTATACGTTTCTTCAAGCTTGCATATACGGCTCGCTGATGAGCGCTGACATGCACGAAACCTTGGTCCAAGGCTTCCTATGACCAACTGCCTCCAACCATCTAATAAAGACAAAAGCAGTTTCATTTGACAGTTGCAGTGATAGTGGTAAACGTCAACTGTAACATTCAGCGCATGTTATGTAGGGGGAACACGGTATCGAAAGTTGTGCAAAGAATTTCTTTCGAACGCACAGTTCAAGCATATTCTAAAAACGTTCCGGTGAAAGTCTATACACGTAGATCATAAGGCAGGTTAAGCGAAATGTTATAAATCACTTTGGCAGCTCTATTAATGTCGAACTGATGTCCTCAATAGGATTATCTTTTAAAAAAACTTTATTTGTTTTCTTGTATTTTATCGATTGAACACTGAATAACACAGTTCACAATCACTACGTTTTCAATGGGTTCAACAAAATCCAAACAATCAAATCTATTGTACAGAATATACATCTGACAGTTTGATTAAAAGTGATGACATGCTAAATCAACGCAGGTCGTTAACTACAAGTTTGACAACAACTCCAGATGTACAGAATAATGAAAATCTCCCTTTGCTATTCACAATTCATCCAACAACTGGAGTGTTTGAAGCAAACGAAACAAAGTCATTTGAAATTCGTTTTAATCCAACTGAGGTAATGTGCTCCATGTTAAATACAAACGTTACATCTTTGTTTATAGAAAATTTCATGTTGTTTAGTGAATCTGCTCAGAAGTTTGTGTAACAGACTGCAAAATTTCGTCAAAAGCTGCCTCCTTTCCTCGATAATAAAGATTAGATGGTTGGCCACAAAGGACGAGAGAAATAGGACCTGTTGGCCATCAAATATGCAGAAGACAATGGATATGGATTGGCCAAACACTGAGAAAACTTTTGAGTGAAATCGCACGCCAGGTAGGCCGTCGAGTGGAATCTGAATAGGAAGCCATTAAGGAGATAGTATGAGGAGGAGCCCGTTAAAAAAGACTCCAGGGGACATAGTAAAATTGAGAATCCTAGGAGATAGCATAATAATAAACCAGTTTACTGCTTAATAATGACGTACGGCCATCACGAATCATTTCAACCGAACCTAGAACTGACTAACTTAACGAATTGTTCACAACGAATCAGATGGTTTGCAGACAACTTTTCAGTCTTAAAATTTTCAAGTATTGGTTTTGTGTGGATTTTGTCTGATTGAATGGAGGATTTCATCATGAGCTAACATCAGTTAGAGAAACACTGGAAAACCTGGGAGTACTGGACAGCTGTTTCATCCTAGTTTAGGACTCTTCATCATTACGCACCCACCGGTTGGGGTCCGAATCCAGGAACTTCTGGTTGCAAGGCCAGCGAGCTCGTAGACAATCGGGCCACTGGGACCCGATCCAATGGCCAGTCTATGAATTCTAACTTCTGCCAATTCACGACATAGCGCGACCACTTCGCGCAATGTCTTCTTCGATGAGTTACTGCCCCATCTTCAATCTGCTGTACCCTACTGGTCACGGCTTCCCACTAGAACCCCAGGTCGCTGCCTGTCTGAATAGGGCCAGTCGCTAGTGAGTATCAGATTAAAATTGTCGGTGGTGGTTGACAGATAGCTACAAACCTAGGTTTCTTTATTCTTGCCACTCGTCAAGCTTGGAGGAAAACGATATCCCTCTATGTGACTTGGACCCGGGTTGTTTAGTGTTTCAGTCAGAGGCATTATCGGTGAGCAGTTCCAAAGCATGATTGACCTCCTTTAAGACTGAGGTAAATGAACTGACAGTCTCTGAAGAGAAAGCGTTTTCATACATCTAATTTCCAGTGGTTCTGATAGATAGAAGGGTGTCACTCAATTTTCAATGTAACCACTGATCGTGGAGATTCCGACACAGGGTATTTTTAGAATTAACGCCAACTCCTTTCAACTATATGATTTTTTATCAATATGACTACTCACCACCCTACAAGCTAACTGAAAGAATTTAGTGAAAATAACTTTGCATTATTTGTACTAATCACATAATAAGAAGACATCTTGAAAATTGAAGAACATCGAGGGTTATAAAGGGCCGTCTATTCATTCATGATTCGATGCATTATCGTGAGGTCTTTCAAAGTTTAGGCCAGCATTCAGTAATTCAGTTCAAACCCAATAATAGAACTTCGAAAATGCTGGTCATTTCCCATCCTTAGACAATACCACTAGTAAGAAATGTCTGTCCTCGCTCATAACTTTGGTACAGTGACAGAACACAGGTTGTCTTTAGGACTTTAGAAGGTCTATTGCATAATCAATGATGAGTTATTATTATTATTCTCTTGGGTTCTGAGTGGAACATAGGACTTCAACAACACATCTCCACCTTCTTCTATTTGGCACTGTCATCTTTAGTTGGGTCCACGACTGCCCATAGTCTGCCATTGTCTCGTCGCACTATCTCCGCCATGTCACCCTCGCATCGATAATCCACTCGTCGTTTCCCATTTGGATTCCGCTCGGGCTATGGCTTGCAATGCTCGCGATGTCATTCGACACTTCCCTCAATGTATGCACAATCCATTCCCATTTTCTCCTGCATATTTGTTAAGCGATCGGTTCTTGGTTGGTTTGTTCCCAGCCACAGATTCTTGTTACTAATTATTTCTGGCCAGCTGGCAGGCCATTTGATCTTCAGTTTGGAGCCAGCCAGAGAAGGGGGCAGCTGTTGATAAAAGTCTGTAACTGTCTGTTGGAAATCCTTTTCGTAACATCCAGTGCAAGTTTCTAATCGATATAGAAACACTAACTGGCTGACTTCACATTTGTGTTGAGATGATCTGCGAGAAACTGACTACTTACACAAACTACTGTCATATTAATATGTGTAAAACTTGGGTACTGTGGTAGTAAATAATTCCATATTAGTTTGTTTATTAGATATATCATGTGTAATAGGAATGATTCAACACCTGTTCACTCGGAAATCTGGAAAATTCTACTACCCCAAAGACGACAAATAGGGGAGAACAAAGAAAACTATAAGACGAAAGTTTCAAAGTCGTATGATGATAACTGATGAGATGATTATGAACGACAATCAGTTTGGTATTAGATGGTTGGAGGCAATCGGCAGGAAGCCTTGGACCTAGGTTTCGTGCTAGTTGGCACTCATCAGCAAGGCGTATCTGCAACCTTGAAGGAACTGATGTCCCTTCTGAGATTCGAACCCGCGTCACCCAGTGCTGCAGTCAGAGACGTTACCACTGAGCTATTCAGGCTCGCGACTGACCTCCTGTAGGACCGTATTGGATATTTTTGATTGCACACTAGTCAGTGACTAGTGTAATGTATCTAGTCCTATCTTCGGTGCAGACTGAATTCTATCAGTCATGTTTGCAATGTGGCCACCATGCTAGGTGGCTCGCCATTACGGTGCACTGTGAGTGGTTGGTATTAGATGGTTGGAGGCAGTCGGCAGGAAGCCTTGGACCTAGGTTTCGTGCTAGTTGGCACTCATCAGCAAGGCGTCACTAGTCACTGACTAGTGTGCAATCAAAAATATCCAATACGGTCCTACAGGAGGTCAGTCGCGAGCCTGAATAGCTCAGTGGTAACGTCTCTGACTGCAGCACTGGGTGACGCGGGTTCGAATCTCAGAAGGGACATCAGTTCCTTCAAGGTTGCAGATACGCCTTGCTGATGAGTGCCAACTAGCACGAAACCTAGGTCCAAGGCTTCCTGCCGATTGCCTCCAACCATCTAATACCAACCACTCACAGTGCACCGTAATGGCGAGCCACCTAGCATGGTGGCCACATTGCAAACATGACTGATAGAATTCAGTCTGCACCGAAGATAGGACTAGATACATTACACTAGTCACTGACTAGTGTGCAATCAAAAAGACAATCAGTTTTGTTCGAAACGTCACCCAGTGAACAATAATACTGTTTCTTTACTGTGTGATAAGTCTAATAAACAAACAAATATGGAACAAATTACTGTCAGTTTGACTGGCGATAAAATCCAGTAAGTGCTGAACATCCATTTCATTCCTGTCGTTCAGCTTCAAAGAATTCATCCTGACTATTATATTTTCATTCTGTTATAGTAACATAACGTAGCAGTACCCCTACACTCTATTATTCAACTACTTTATATTGATTATTTTCCAAAAACATTTTTTCAGATTGGAACATTTAGATCTCAACTTGAAATGATTTTGCTCAATATACCAGAAGTAGACGAAAATAATGCATGTTATACATTGGATAAAAAACATTTGACCATTGAATTAAAAGGTATTGCCGAGTCTTTACCCATATCAATTGAACCGTCAATTTTAATTATACCTGGAAAGTGCCTACTTGATGTACCTTTGCATCAAAATATTCAAGTATGTGTTCCCCTCTATGTGACTTTATGTTATTGCGAACGAAAATAATATGCACATTCCTGTTTAGGTGGTATTTTATGCATAACGAGGCATAGCCTTCCTGGACGAACAGTAATAATTGGGAATTATATAAGCTTAAATATAGTTAGGGGTGGTTAGATCACAATATGTTAACAGCCCTTCGAATTAGAATCCAAGAACACAAATCAGCCGTGAAAAGACACGATATATTTTCTTTAGTATCAATGCATATAGACAGTTCTGGTCATCAATTTGATTGGGATAATATCAAAATCTTAGACAGAGGAAATACCAAAAGTCCCAGGGAATTCCTAGAAGCCTGATACTCAAACAAAAATGCAATTAACAAACACGTTAATATAGACGAAATACACCAACCAATAAAAAGTAAATCGGGTGACCAGAAAGTTTAAAATCCAAGTCAATAGAAAATGGTCAATACATATGTAAAGATGGTTACCAGGAGACGCAGTTATACCAGTCATGAAGAAATTTAAATCATTTCACTTTATGCTAAATATTGCGCTGAAGATGTTGTCCAGAAGGACGACGAAAGCTCCGCAACTAAACCAACCAGATCAGAGAATACTATTAATTGCAGAGGGTGTGGATTATCACTTAGGGCTCCTGAAGTTTAAATAAAGGTCCATGGATGGAAACTGTTTATGATTTGACTCAAATCTATAAGAATGAAAGCTGAGCACTGTGGCAGAGTACAATTCTATCATAAAATATATTTTCTTGATAAAAGTGCACACTGATATAGCATCATTTACTGACGATGTTTTGAGCACAATTTGCTTCTGCTAGTAATCATATCATAGCATTTGCATAACTTTTAAACTTCGCTTATATATAACTGCACTGTTTGTTAGCTTTTGATTTCATTGGTCCATGTGAGAAAATTTTGCGTCGGTAGCAGTGTGGTAGAACGCTCGCTAACCACGCCATACGTGATTAGGGGTTCGATCGTCGACCGATGCACTCCTTTAACTCGCTAAGCCAGTAATAAGACTGGTGAAGAGGAAAGGTAGGGCATGATTGTAGCGACCCCATCCTGTAATAATAAACATCACTACTACCGAAACTTCAAGCCTCTAACTTGAAGCCATATGTTCCACTGGAAACGTAAAGGAATAAAAACAAATATGAGGAAATTAGGAAGCCTGTAGATATGGTTATGCATAAGATTAAGAAATTTATAGCAGATTAGATATGTTTAAGTGTAGATTGCTTGACTCCATGGTGGTGGTGAATAGTTTGGGGAAAAATTCAGCAATGGCAATGCATACATGTTGGAAAACGCTGTGAGTATTAATGTTTGATTGGATGGAGGATTTCATCATGAGCTGACATCAGTCAGAGAACCAATGGAAAACCTGGGAGTACTGGACAGCTGCTTCGTCAGCCTAGTTCGGGACTGGCTCTTCATCAGTACGCACCCACCTGTTGGCATTCGACTCCAGGACCTTCTGGTTACAAGGCGAGCTCGTAGACTATTACGCCACTCGGACCCGATCCAATGGTCCTTGAATTCTAACTTCTGCCAATTCACGAAATAGCGCGACCAGTTCGCAATGTCTTCTTCGATGAGTTACTGCCTCATCTTCAACCTGCTGTACCCTATTGGTCACGGCTTCCCACTAGAACCCCAGGTCACTGCCTATCTGAATAGGGCCAGTCGCTAGTGAGCTTCAGATTAATTTTCAAGTATTGGATTTAACTCCATCGTTCCCTTTGCCATGTAAGGGTTCATGACTTCAGGAGTGATTCTAAACTCTATTGTAAATGTAAGTTTCTTTTTAACCTCATTCTAATTTTTTTAATTTCCCTTTTGAATATCTCTCATCTATATACATACATGCATAGCTGGTGAACAAATCCCACAACTGTCCAGTCGCATTTTATTGGAAGGCTGATTTTAATTGTAAAGCCGATTCCATTTCATCAAATGATGATGGTCTAAGTCAATCTACAGCGGATATGCGTCAATTGAATTTATCCAAACATTTAAGCAGAAGTAGTGATATCGAAGAGGCTATGGATAATTTAATTATTATAGAACCAACTATGGGTGTCATCGCACCAGGACAATCAATAAATATTGATATAATTTTATCTTCATCAAAATCTCTAACCATAAAAGAAGATATTCCATGTTTTATTGATATCCTACCGAATTCCCCTTTATGGCTGCATATTGAAGCTGAATTTACGGTAAGTAATCATTATTCTCTATTGTTCCCCCTTAGTTTTTCCCGGGCTACTGAAGAAAGACTATAACATATTACGCAGGATGTTAAATGTTGTCAGCAGGGTAAGCAACGTGCCACTTAGCCAGCTTGTTAATATTCTGGTTGACAGGCACATGGACTCATGTGAAAAATGGGCTAAGTGCATTTTATCTAACTCACACCACCCTCTTCACTCACAACTCTCCCCTTGCATCTCATCAGGTAAAACCAGAAGCCTATATAGAAAACTGTATGCTCACACCAGCAAGTACAAAAACTCAACCATAATAATAATAATTACACCATAGGCTTATATGAAACAAATGGCTTAATAATACTGACATCGGCTTTTCATATCTGAATAGGTAACATCACAAATGACCCTAATTTAACTAATTTAGAAGAGCGATGCGTGCTAATCAACTTTTCGACGCACAAGTTAAATTAAGAATTAACCACTCCTGGTCTACTGAAAATGAATTGTGTCACTTTGACAAGGGTATTAAAGGTTGTTAGAAGGGCAAGTGGTGTGCAACTTAGTCAGCTTGTCACTAAATTAGTTGGCAGACACCTCCACTCATGCGAGATATGGTCTAAATCTATATTAAAAACACAATATTCAGCGAAGAGACTCTTTTCAACAACGAATTTATTATCAAGCTGTACAATCGTATATATATGGTTTTTAAGAAATTATATCCGGTGAGGTAATTGGGTCAAAGGTGTGAATACATGAAATAATAATAGTATGAAATGCAATTAAAATTAAAATGTTTGTGATTATAATCATAGTTAAATGTCAAGTGGCAAAATAATTAATTTCGTATATAGAATAATACATAAGGTGTATAGATGTTGGAAAGGAGTACATAATTATAAGATTAGTAGACGAATATAAAATGTTACGTAATATGGTGTGAAATTTGATAAGATAGAATTCAATATTGTAAAAATAAAAATATAAAAATTAATAATTTTGGGTTTAAAATGTCAAGTGGGTCAAGTGGAAAAGATTCAGAGTGAGAATAGTAATAATAATAACAATAATTATAATAATCGTAGTAATGAAGGAAAGGTACATGGATTAGTTAAATAAACAAAATAAATAAATGTCTATCCATCTACGGCCAAGGCAGAAGTGGGGATTGTACATACTTCTTTTGTACACAAAGGTCTGGTTTTAATTCATAAATGGCCATGACCTCCGATGTCTTTAGAAGTCTATAACGAAGAAAAAGGCGGTCGGCAAGTTAGCATGGATTCGGTAGATGATCTTAAAATCATGGTTAGGAATGTCTTGTTTGCTTTCAACAACTGCTATGCCTTTTTACAACTCACCGTATAAAAGGAATCTGAACTAATCATTTCGTTTCCTAGACGCAGTAGTGTACCTAATGCTGAAAATTCGACACTGTAGCATTAGTACTGTTTTGGAATAAAACAAATTGTTATTGTTATCATTTTCAACCAAGATTCATTCAATTTGTGGATGGTGACTAGCAGTGGAATCCATTATGCACATTTCGTCCTACTTGGGACTCGTCATCTGGATATACGTGCACTTCCCAGTGAGTGATGCTGTTTCCACTGGGTTCGAGCCCAGACATCGTCGAAGCATCTGCACAAGAAGCCCACATGTCAACGTGAGACCGAGCACTTCGGTTCAATGAATCGACGGGAAAATCTAAAATTCAATTAGACAAGATTCATTTAGCTGAGGAGCCCTGAAAGGGACGAAATAACGCACTAACTGAAAATTCGGTATATATTTGCTAACCATCTTTGAAAACTTTACATTGTTCTGCGTTAAAGTTTATTTCTGATCATTGTATTGTTTTTGTAGGAACCAGCCATTGTATTTGATAAACCCGATTGTAATTTTGGTCTCATGCGGCCGAATGAAACAGTTAAACAAAATATTCAATTGACAAATACTTCACCTTCACCGAGAAAATGGCGCCTTGAAATGGATACAGTCAACAGCAAGGTAAGTGATTTCATACGTGGATCAAGATTTCGATAGAGAAAGAAAAACCAGTAATTATATATTAGTTTGTTTATTAGATGTATCACACACAGTCACAGAAACAGTATTATTTACTGGATGACAAGGTTTCGAACACAATTTATTGCGATTTAGGATTATTTTGTCAATTATAATCACATGACTTTGAGACTTGAGTTTTATAGTTTTCTTTGTTTTCTCTTTGTTTTCTCTTTGTTTCTCTCCTAATCTTTCCTGGACTACTTAAGAAAGATTTTGCTTTGTTAAGAAGGGCACTAAAAGCTGTTAGTAGGGGAAGTGGGATATCGTTAAACAAACTGGTTAACGTTATTGTGGATAGATATATAATTTCATGTAAAAAAGTAGCGAATACTATATTGTCAGACCCCGAGCATCCTCTCTACACGCAGCTCTGTCCTTGTATTTCATCTGGTAAAACTAGAAGCAGCTATAGGAGGCTATATGCTAGGACTACCAAGTACAAAAGCTCCACAATACCTTATCTAACACAGCTGTTATGTGATGAGAAAACTGCTAGGCATGACACGATCAACTTACTGCGGCACTCTAACAAATAGTTCCCGTTAGCTTTTGTTGTCCTTTCTTTATTACTGTTTTATTGTTGCTCACATATTCTATTACACACTAATTTTATATTTCATATCCTGTGGTGCATTGTTTAAATATGTGAGTGCAATGCTGTTCTTTTTTATTTCTTTTACTTTTCTTTTTTTCTTTTTGCTGTTGTTGCTTTATATTTCTAAATCCTTATAAAATTTATGAGGTAATTAGATACAGTATTGTAATGGACGCTGAAAATTCCATACCTGTACCACAAATACTGTTTGGAATAAAGCTGTTATTATTATTATTAATCATTCCTATTACATGTATTTGCAGTTGATTCGATAAACAAAGCTTCTGTTATAAATCTCTCCCTATACCCTGTGACATTAGATTTTAAAACTGTCATCCTAAAATCTAATGTAACAACTGGGTGGAGGGACAGATTGATAACGGAAGCTTTGTCTATCGAATCAACTGAAGAGAATGCCTGTAATAGGAATGATTCAACACCTGTCCACTAAGATATCTGGAGTATTCTACTATCCCTACAACGACAAACAGGAGAGAAGAAAAAAAACTACAAAACTCAAGTCCCAAAGTTGTGTGATTACAATTGATATGATTATGAACCACAATAAATTTTGTTCGAAACTGTGTCATCCAGTAAACAATACTGTTTCACTCACTGTATGATATATCTAATAAACAAACTAATATGGAATTATTTACTACCACAGTGCCCAAGGTTTACTCATATATTAATAAAGGAAAACCAGATTTGCAGCATAAAATGATATCATCATTCTATTTCACAGGTTCTCGTCAACTGCTGCAAACTACCTGAAATTACAATGGTTATCAATAATGATATTTCTTACTTCAATGTTTGAAAGGTGATAGAGAAAACATTATAAGATGAACGCATCCGGGATATAAGTATTACGAATTTTTAGTATAAGTTACCATCAATTTCTAGGCTTTCAGACTATGAAAATAAAGGTGGGAGGTGAGAGAACACAGAAAACAGAGAAATCTGATAGACAATGTTGACTTGTACGTCAATATGGCAACTCAAGAAGGTTAAAGTTTATCAAACTGAAAAACTGTCTAGTGAGTTGAGCTCACTAGTGTGTATGACTAATCAGTGTAATGAAAGTGATGTGGTTACCAAGGGAGTGAGAGATTGACTACACTCTCTTTCTGTGTGCATAAGTTTCGTCTGAGACGTTTGATTGCAATTGCTTCAGCAGTAAATCGTAGTAGATTCGCTGTCCTTAGTATGGTTAATATTTTGAAGGATTTGGAAATCTCGACAAAATGACCCGTATCCACAGGGTGGGTGTCTAGTAATTGCACTTTGTGAATATCTGCTTCCTTTAAGCAAAGGTTTCTTGGAATATGCTGTGAAAACCGGATAGAAGCCCTTCCTTCTGTCCTTCCAATGTACTTGCTACTACAGGTGCACATAAATTTATAAATGCAGTTGGAGATAACATCAGCAGTGTACTTGTCTAGTTTCGATTAGTTTATACAGCAAATAGTGCTGTGTGGTGTCACCAGCTTGGCTGCAGAGAAGCACCTTTTTAATACTCCTTTTATCCTCTTGTCAATCTTTTATGATACTGCTTCTCCTTTGAACGGGAGGCAAATGAACACTTTCTTCTTTTCAACTGTTGGATACTTCTCTTTCTCATCACTGAGAACGATTTTGAGCCATGTCACCAATTGTTTCCAACCATTGGTTTTTTAACCGTCCCGAGGACCCCAACCAGGAAGTCTACATCTTCCTACGTGGCTTAGACTAACTGTTGTGGATTTCATTGACTGGTGCCATGTTTTGGTTTGACCGCCGCTAGCTCTTTTCCAGCCTGGCCCTATATCAGCCAACATTGCTCGTCGAGGAAGGCGATGACTAGGCATGCGTAACACATGTCCTAACCATCTCAGTCGATGTAATTTCACAGCCTCGTCTATTGATTCCCCTCCTTACCTAGCACTTGACGCCCAACTTCAATATTGTTCACCTTATTATACCACTTCACACCGGAGATAGAACGCAGACACCTATGGTCGAAGACAGCTAATCTTTTCATGTCTTCCGCTCTCAATGGCCAGGTCTCACAGCCATAAAGGAGGACGGAGCGGGCTGTTGAGCAGTACACACGCCTTTTGGTCGATAGTCGGATGTCACGTCTACGCCAGAGACGGCGTAAACTGGCATATGCGAACCTAGCCCTCTGCATTCGTGCTGAGATTTCGTCGGAGATCAACCTGTTGGTACTGGCTGATGGTACTTCCCAAGTAAGTGAAGCGGTCAACGTGCTCTACCACTTCACTTCCTATTCCTTCACAACAAATTGAAGTAATATGCGCTGAGATGAGGATGTTGCCTAGTAGGGCAATGAAATCTTCGCAGATAAACCATCCAGCAGGTCAGAGAACACAACTACATCAAAATCATCTACTTGAGCTACAGATCTTTTCCATCATATCTGAAGTATAATACATAGAGACGTATCGAAGGAAGGATCAGTGCATGGATATTAAATGAGGATTTAGTTCATCTGGGAGATTAAAAAGTACATCGATGTCATTGAGAACAACTTTAAGTCAAGCTGTCAACAGTTTCCAGCTGTAATTCCTTAGAATCTCAAAAACCCTGACTAAATAAACCAATGAATCTAGTGGAATATTAAGTCACTAATTATGTTAGAATTCATTTACTTTATTTTCAGAATAATGTAACGCCACTGGCTTATATGAAACGATTGACTTAATAATACTGATATCGGATTTTCATATCTGGATAGTTAATACCACAAAAGACCCTAATTTAATTTCTTTAGAAGAGAGATGCGTGCTAATCAACTTTTCGATGTATAAGTTAAATTCAGAATAAACCACTCCTGGTCTTTCATACAATGATTCCCTTTTTATAAATTTGAACAAAGAAAGAAGAAACATTGGCGCGCAGAATACTCTGGATCCATTTTATTTCGTCGGTTCTCATCAGCAGCTGCATACAACCTGAATTCTTTAATAAAATTTAAAAAAGTGTACAATTTTAACAAACTTTTGTCCATTAGCAAGCATATTGTCAGAACGTCAGAGTGAAATAAGTCGTTGCGGTTTACAAGGTGTCTAAAGTGTTACAACATATTTAAATATATCTTGTTAGAGAGAAGTTTCTTGAAAAAAATTAATTAACAGTTGTGTTGTTGGGGTGGTAACAAAAGAAAATTAGTAACAGTTACGTAATTAGATAAGAGAAGATCAAAATTTTAAAATTTCGTTGCGCATGAGGCCAGATGAGAAGGTGATAATGTAATACAGTGAGCAGAACTCAGAAGATCAAGAAAAATTATCTCTTAAGAGAGTCAAGCGAAAAATAAAGGGGGAGAGTGGAAAGATAAGTTAACAAAATCATAAAACAAAGAGTTACTAAGAAGTGAGTCACTACAGTAATTGAAGTCCAACAACGGATTCTTTTTGAACACATAAGTCTACTGGTCTAGTGAAAAAGGACTATGTCATTTTGACAAGGGTATTCAAGGTTGTAAGTGGGGCAAGTGGTGTGCAACTTAGTCAATCAGCTTGTTACTACATTAGCTGATAGACATCTAAACTCATGCGAGATATGGTTTAAATCTATATTAAAAAAACACAATATTCAGCGAGGAGACTCTTTACAACAACGAATTTATTATCAAGCTGTACAATCGTATATGAATATGGTATTATAAGAAATTATATCTGGTGAAGGAATTAGATCGAACGTTTGAACACATGAAATAATAATAGTAGCATGAAATGCAATTAAAATATTCGTGATTATAATCATAGTTAAATGTCAAGTAGCAAAACAATTAGTATCATACATAGAAATGTTCATAAGGTGTATAAATGTTGGAAAGGGGTGCATAATTATAGAATTAGTTGGCTAATATAAAACGTTACATAACGTGGTGGGATATTTGATAAGATAGAATTCAATATTGTAAGAAACAACTTTTGGACTTAGAGATGACAAGTGGGACAAGTGGAAACAATTCAGAGTGAGAATAGTAATAATAATAATAATAATCGTAGTAATAAGGGAAAAGTACATAGAATAACTAAATAAACAAAACAAATAAGTGTCTATCCCTCTACGGCCAAGGCAGGAGTAGGGATTGTACATACTTCTTTTGTACACAAAGGTGTGTCTGGCTTAAAGTCATGAATTGTTAAGGCCTATGCTGTCTTAAGAAGTCTATAACGAAGAAAATGCGGTCGGCAAGTTAGCATGGATTCAGTAGATGATCTTAAAATCATGGTTAGGATATCTTGTTTGCTTTCAACAACTGCTATTCTTTTTTACAATTCACCATAGAAAAGGAATCTGAACTAAGCATTCCGTTTTTTAGACGCAATAGTGTACCAAATGCTGAGTACTGTTTTGGAATAAAGCAAATAATAATAGTAATCATTAGTTTCAATCAAGATTCATTTGGCTGATGAGTCCTAAAAGGGACGAATGAACGCACGAACTAAGAATTCGATATATATTTATGAATCATCTTTGATAAACGTACATTGTTCTATATCAAAGTTTATTTCTGATCACTGTTTTGTTTCTATAGGAACCAGCCATTGTATTTGATAAACCTGATTGTAATTTTGGTCTGATGCGGCCGAATGAAACAGTTAAACAAAATATTCAATTGACAAATACTTCACCTTCACCAAGAAAATGGCGCCTTGAAATGGATACAGTCAACAGCAAGGTAAGCGATTTTATACGTGGATCAAGATTTCGATAGAGAAAATAAAACCGGTAATTCCATATTAGTTTGTTTATTAGATGTATCACACACAGTGAGTGAAACAGTATTATTTACTGGATGACACAGTTTCGAACAAAAATTATTGTGGTTCATAATCATATCAGTTATAATCACACGACTTTGAGACTTGAGTTTTATAGTTTTCTTTGTTCTCTCCTGTTTGTTACCATTGCGGTAGTAGAATTTTCCAGATATCTGGGACTAGTGCTGCTCCCCATTAATCTTTCCTGGACTACTTAAGAAAGGTTTTTTTTTGCTAAGAAGGGCACTAAAAGCTGTTACTAGGGGAAGTGGGATATTGTTAAACCAACTAGTTAACACTACTGTGGATAGACAAATAATGTCATGTGAGAAACTAGCGAATACTATATTGTCTGACCCCAAACACCCTCTCTATACGCACTTCTCTCCTTGCATTTCATCTGGTAGAACTAGAAGCAGCTATAGGAGGCTATATGCCAGGACTACCAAGTACAAAAACTCCACAATACCTTATCTGTTACAGCTGTTATATAATGAGAAATCCGTTAGGTATGAAACGATCAACTTACTGCGGCACTCTAACAAATAGTTTCACATTAGTTTTCGTTTTCTTTTCTGTGTTACTGTTATATTGTTGTTCACATCTTCTATTACACACTAATTTTATATTTCATATTCCTGTGGTGCATTGTTTAAAACATGAATGCAACGCTGTTCTTTTTTATTTCTTTTTGTTTATCTATTTTCGTTGTTGTTGTTGCTTTTTGTTTTTAAAATCTTATAAAATTTATGAGGTAATTAGATGCAATATTGTAATGCACGCTGAAAATTCCATACCTGTACCACAAATACTGTTTGGAATAAAGCTATTATTATTATTATTATTACGAATCATTCCTATTACACGTATTTGCAGTTGATTCGATAAACAAAGCTTCTGTTATCAATCTCTTCCTATACCCTGTGACATTAGATTTTAAAACTGTCATCCTAAAATCTAATGTAACAACTGGGTGGAGGGAGAGATTGATAACAGAAGCATTGTCTATCGGATCAGCTGAAGGGAATACGTGTAATAGGAATGATTCAGCACCTGTTCACCCAGATATCTGGAGTATTCTACTATCCCTACAACGACAAACAGGAGAGAACAAAGAAAACTATAAAACTCAAGTCTCAAAGTCGTGTGATTATAACTGATATGATTATGAACCACAATAAATTTTGTTCGAAACTGTGTCATCCAGTAAATAATACTGTTTCACTGTGTGATATATCTAATAAACGAACTAATATGGAATTACTTACTACTACAGTGCCGAAGTTTCACACGAATATTTATAAAGAAAAACCAGATTTGCAGTATCAAATGATATCATCATTCTATTTCACAGGCTCTCATCAACTGCTGCAGACTATCTGAAATTACATTGTTTACATATAATCACGCTTCATACTTCAATGTTTGTAAGGTGATAGACAAAATATTATGAGATGAACGCATTCGGAATATAAGTATTACGAATTTTTAGTCACCATCAATTTATAGGCTTTCAGACTATGAAAATAAAGGCGGGAGGTGAGAGAACACAGAAAACAGAAAAATCTGATGAACAGTGTTAGCTTGTACGTCAACATGGCAACTCAAGAAGGTTAAAGTTCATCAAATTGAAAACCTGCTTAGTGAGCTGAGAATACTAGTGTGTATGACTAATCAGTTTAATGAAAGTGATACGGTTACCAAGGGAGTGAGAGACTGACAACATTCTCTTTCTGAGTGGATAAGTTTCGTCTGAGACGTTTGATTGTAACTGCTTCAGTAAATCTTAGTAGATTCGCTGTCCTTTGTATGTTTAATATTTTGAAGGATTTGGAAATCTCGACAAGATGACCCGTATCCACAGGGTGGGTGTCTAGTAATTGCACTTTGTGAATATCTGCTTCCTTTAAGCAAAGGTTTCTTGGAATATGCTGTGAAAACCGGATAGAAGCCCTTCCTTCTGTCCTTCCAATGTACTTGCTACTACAGGTGCACATAAATTTATAAATGCAGTTGGAGATAACATCAGCAGTGTACTTGTCTAGTTTCGATTAGTTTATACAGCAAATAGTGCTGTGTGGTGTCACCAGCTTGGCTGCAGAGAAGCACCTTTTTAATACTCCTTTTATCCTCTTGTCAATCTTTTATGATACTGCTTCTCCTTTGAACGGGAGGCAAATGAACACTTTCTTCTTTTCAACTGTTGGATACTTCTCTTTCTCATCTCTTTCTTTGCTGTACTTTTGGATAAATCCCTTTGGATACCCGTTTTCCCTAAGACATTTTTCAACAAAACTTAATTCTTTTTCTACCTTGTTAGGCGAACATAACTTCCCGGCTCTGCCATACAGTGTCCTTATTAATCCCCACTTATAGCTTACAGGGCAGAAGCTGTTGTAATGAAGGTATTGTCCAGTTCAAGTTCCTTTTCTGTAGATAGACTTCTCAACCGTTCCATCGTTTCTTCTTTTCACATTTAGGTTCAGGAAATTGAACTCGTCATTGTGTTCATATTCCATGGTGAATTTGATGTTTGGACGGATCTTATTAAGGCGGTCAAATAATACAGATGCCTGACTCATGTCGTTAAAAACAACAAACGTATCATCGATATATCGAAGATAGTTTGTTGTTTCATTGGTAGCATCACTCAGTCGCATCTGTTCGAGATAACCCATGAAGATATCGGCTAGAATAGGTCCTAGAGGTGAACCCATGGTGACTCAATCAGTTTGTCGGTAGAATTGGTTGTTGAATTTGAATTGGAAGGTTTTTGTGTAAAAAGTTTGTTTACAAATGATGTCTATTGTTTCCATCACTGGTACATTTGTAATTAAGGCAGTCTCGTCGTATGACACCATTAGTTTATTTGATATATCAACATGGTCGACTTCTTTGAAAAATTGGAAGGTGTGAATTGAGATTAATATGCATAATTTTTGTGACCAGTTTAACAAAGTAGGAATTCTCACATTAATTCATGTTACCGTACCATAAACTACAGTAGATGGATATATTGTGAGGCTGCACTCTCTGAGCTGGATGATACAATTGCAAGGCTTTCATTATTCTTTTGTAGACAGCGTGATATGGCTCAAAATCCCCGTTCTCAGTGATTGGTGCAGATACATTCATTCACTGTTTGTTATTTATTATATCCAACAAAATTCTTTTGTTATTCCATATTACTATTCGTTTTGCCTCGTATCTCTGTTTTGCGTTTCTTTTTACTTTCTTCTCTTGTCTTATGTGCTATATGGAGTGTGGCGACTCGAACTGCTGTACATCGGTATAAAGTTCTACGGTGAAAACAGTCGATCAGATAAGGTCTTCAGTGCAGCTTCAGAATCATTCATCTTGGCTATAAATCTGTATTATTTAAAGATGGATGCGTAAATAGGAAAATACGCAATCTACATCTTCCTATATGGCTCAGGCCAATTGTAAATAACTTCATAGGCGAATGCCATACTTTTTTCTGTTCACCTACAACTATTTCCCAACCTTATTCCACTTCAATTAATAGTCCTCATTAGGAAAATCAGTAACTTGACGTGTATAGTACATGTCCTGTCTCAGTAGGTCGATATGTCCTTTTACTGTACTCATTTCATTACTCGACCTAACGTAGACAAAAATAAAGTACTGTATAGTAGCTAGATAATTTAATGCTAACATGATAAACATTGTAGCCGATTCCTTGATGCCAGTCAGCATGAAAAATAAGATCCGGATTTTCAACTCCAATGTGCAGTCAGTGCTAATTTATGGATCAGAGACTTGGCGCGTCATGAAGAGCACCTCAAACAAATAACAGACCTTCACCAACAGTTGTCTTCGATCAAATACTACTCAAGATCAGATGGCCGGCCACAAAAGATCAGCAACAAGGATCTCTGGCAATGAGCAAATTAACCCAGCAGGAACCAATTGTGCAACAAATATGCAGGATTGGCCATACTCTGAGAAAGCGAAGCATTAAGTGACATCACACTCCAGGTCATCGCTTGATTGGAACCCTATCGGATGGGAAGTGGCGAGTTTGCCATCAGTGCGAGGACGGCGTGATATGGAGGAGGTCATGTGAAGAGGAAGTGAAAACATGTGGGCAGACGTGGAGCCAGGTGAAAACGTTGGCAGGGAACCAAATGCAATGGAGACGTGCAACCGAATCCCTATGTTCCTTTAGGAACTAAAGGAAGCAATAATATAATAATACTAATTCCTTGATGCCCAAGAGTTGATGTGCAATGATTAGATTGGGTACAGCTTTTATCACAAGCTTAAATCAGGAAGTATTAGACAACTGTTTCGTCCCAGTCTAGCTCTCTTCAGTGGTACGGACCCATGGTGGTTGAAACCCAAGAGCTCCCGGTGAAGAGGCGAGCTCGGATATCATTCAGCCACCAGGACCCGATTCAACTGCTTATGAAATCTAACTCTTGCTAGTTCATGATGTATCAAGCCATTTCCAGCCAATGTCACCGACAACTAACTCTCGAGTATACAGACAGTCGCTAGTGAGCCTCCGATTAATTTTCAAGCGTTAGTTTGAATGGATCTGACTGGTTACAGCTTTGATCACAACAATTCAGCAACATAACCTTATTTGACAGCTGTTTCAAACTTTGTAAATATCAGTATGCCTTACTGACAGCAGTTAACAAGCACAAGGTTTGTTGTCGATCAAATTATATCTCAACACGGATACAGAGGACTAGTTTAGCGTACGCCAGTTTACGCCATCTCTCACTTAGTAGACGTGATATCCGGCTATTGACCAAAGGGCGAGTGTACTGCTCATCAGTCCGCTCCGTCCTCCTTCATGGCCATGAGTGAGACCTGGCCATTGAGAGTGGAAGACATTAAAAGCCTGGCTGGCTAGCTGTCTTTGATCATAGGCGCCTGCGATCTATCTTCCGTATGAAGTGGTATAATAAGATGAACAATACTGAGGTTAGGCGTCAAGTGCTAAGTAAGGAGGAGGGGAAATCAATAGACGAGGCTGTGAAATTACATCGACTGAGATGGTAAGGACATGTGTTACGTATGCCTTCCTCGAAAACAGGCAATGTTAGCTGATATAGGGCCAGGCTGGAAAAGAGCTAGCGACGGTCTAACCAAAACATTGCACCAGTCAATGAAATCTACAACAGTTAGTCTAGGCCACGTAGGAAGGTGTAGACTGGCTTCCTGGTTGGGTTACTCGGGACGGTAAAAGCCAATGGTTGGAAACAATTGGTGACATAGCTCAAAATCGTTCTCAATGGCTAGCGCAGTTGCATCCACTCCTTGTGACTTATGATTTCCAATGAAACTGTTTTGTTCTTCATTATTACTATTCCTTTGTATCTCACCTCTATTTACTGTCTCTAATATGCATTTCTTCTGCTTTCTTCTCTTGTTTTGTTTTCTACATGGAGGGAGTGTGGCGACTTGAACTGCAGCACATCAGTGCAAATTTCTATGTCGAAAACAGATAGACGGACAGATACCATTTGAAACCATATTCAGTGATACTCTGTTTGAATTGTTTACTGACAGTGGAGAGTTGTACAACAGAAATAGACTTTTACTCAGTTTAATCTTTTCCAAGCTAAAGTGATTGATTGTTTTCCTATACAACATTTCCTTCGGGTCTATAAAGATAAGATTCCGGATGTTATATCTAACTGAAACCAGAATGAATAACTTCCGTTCATTCAAAGTAGATTGGTCAAAAACCACTTATATAGAAAGCTGAAATATCTATGAAAAAATATTTGAAAAAGAAACCTTAGAAATGTTTATTTTTAAGATTACAGAGTTTATATTAGCTTTTCATTCTATTTTAGTCTGCATCAGAAATGAAAATCCATCCATCTTGTGGAATTTTGAAACCAGTTCAGTCGGTTACAGTAAACTTATCATTTACACCAGAAATGGCAAGAAGTGTTCGTGAAGTGATTACAGTGCGCACGGAAGAGAGTGAAGAAATAAGGTAAATATTATTCTGGTTATATTATTATGATTATTACTATTTCCTTAGGTTCCGAGTGAAACATAGGGATTCAGCAACACATCGCCACTTTCTCCTACATTCTGCTGTCCTCTTCAGCTAGGTCCACAGTTGACCGATTTCTCTCATCTCCACCTTGCCACACGATCTCCTGCATGTCAACCTCTCAGTGAAGACCCACACGTCCCTTCCTATTTGGATTCCACTCGAAAACCTTGCGTGCGATGTCATTCAGTGGCCTCCTCAACGTAAACCAGACCCATCTCCATTTTCTCTTACGTATATGTTTAGCGATCGACTCTTCCTTGTTGGTTTGTTCATCGCCAAAGTTTCTTGTTGCTTATTCTTTCTGGCCAGCTGGCCATTTGATCTTCAGTATGGAGCCAGCGAAGGCAGCTGTTGATGAAAGTGTGCAACCTGTTGGAAATGCTCTCCGTGACACGCAGTGCAAGTTTCTGAGCCGTAATGAAGAACTGTCTGACTGACTTCACATTGGTGTTGAAAATCCGAATCTTGTTCTTTATGCTACCCGAGTGCAGAAGACTTCCCAACTGGCTTCAGATTGATGAGGGCGTATCTTGCCTTTCCTATTCTGGCTGGCTGGCTTTGATATCTTCATCCATTCCAGCTGTGGTTGAAGCGATGCTTCCTAGATAAGTGAAGGGAGGCAGTATTATTATTATATATATTATTATTCCCCTTGGTTCCCAGTGGAACAAAGGGCTTCAACTGCACGCCTCCACTGGCTTCTGTCTTCTGCTGTACTTTTCACCTGCATCCATGTTAGTCCATACTGTTTCAACTCCTCTTCACACGATCTCCTCGATGTCACCCTTGGACGTCCCACTCGTCGCTTCCCTTTCGGGTTCCACTCGAGCGTTGGCCTGACGCGCGATGTCACCCAGCGACCTCCTCAGCGAGTGTCCAATCCATCTCAACTTTCTCCTGCATATTTGTTGGGTGATTGGTTCTTGTTTTGTTTGTTCCCATAGTTTCTTGTTGGTGATTCTTTCCGGCCATCTAATCTTGAGTATAGAGCGAAGACAGTTGTTGTTGATAAAGGTCTGCAACAGGCTGTTGGAAATATTCTTTGTGACTCGCCAAGTTTCTGATCTGTATAGAAGAAGTGGCTTGACGTTTGTATTGAAAATCTCTCTTAAATATCTCCCGTTGATGGCGATTGGTGCTGACTATTGTCGCTGTTGGTTGGTTGGTTATCTTCACCACCTCCTTCTTCTCCGTATTCACCTGCAGTCCTGTTTTCGCTGCCCCTTCAGCCAGTTTGTAGGTTTTTGCTTGCGCGTCTTCGAGTTTGTGTGACATTACGCATAAATCATCCTCATGAGAAATCCAGATCTTCTAGAGTCTTCTTATCGGTAATCCAGAGTATTCCTCTATTCTCGCTCCCCACGCATAATGTGACGCATAATCCAGTCCATCACAATTAAGAATATCATCGGTGACAATAGGCAGACATCCTTGTCTTACTCCTGTGTTCACTTCGAACGCCTTGCCGAGTTTCCTGTTGTGAATCACCTGACATGTGCCACTGTTATATACCCACCTTTTTAATTAGGTTGATAATGACTTGAGGTACACCAAATTACTTCTCGGTCGACACTGTCTGCTGAAGGCCTTTTCGAAGTCGATGAAGTTGAGGTAGATAGATGTTTGACTGTCATTCTATGCTTTGTTCTGTGGTGAGAATGCGTAGAGTTGCAATCTGCCCAGCACATGATTTGCCTTTCCTGAATCCAGCTTGTTCTGATCGGTGAGGCGGAGTTCTGTATTCAGTGCATCATTTATTCTCTTCAGGATGATGCGACTTAGTATTTTACTTGGCGTAGAAAAGAGCATTATTTCATACCAGTTCTTGCTGAGAGGCCTAAGTCGCACTTCTTTGGCAGTTTGACGAGGTAGTCCTTCTTCCAATCAGTAGGCACCTTCCCTTCTTTCCAAACTTTTTGCAGTAATGGAGTAAGATGGTTAACTGAATACTATTCTATGATCACTCTTTAGTTATTATATGATTATTATTCCCTTGGGTTACGAATGAAACATTGGACTTCCACAGCACAATGCAACTTTGGTCTGTTCTATGTTGCCCTTTTAATCGGCTCCACAACTGTCCACAACCTTTTATATCCTCCCGACACAATCTCCTACATGTCGTCACTCTCATGCGCATGCTCAACTCGGAGTCACCTATTCGGACTCCACTAGACAGCCTGTATGGTGAATAATACTACCGAAGGATCTCCTTGGTATATGCCCTATATATCTCCATCTCTTCGTACACATTTAGTAAACGACAGGTGCCTTTCTGATTCAACCCTGGCCAAGGCTTCTTGTTACTTATCTTTTCTGATAATCAGATCCTCAATACTGAATGGAAATCTGCAGCAGCCTGATGGAAATGCCTTTCGGAACGCCCACGCCAAGTCTCTAAGCTAAATAGGAGAAGTGATTTGACACTGGTATTGAAAAACCCAGATCTTGTTCCTTATTCTGAAGGCAGTTGGTTTCTACGCTTGTTTTCCCTCAGCCTGCCTTTGAAAGTTTCATCCCTACTGCGTGTAGTTGAAATGACGCTGCCTAGATAAGTGAAGAAACTGACATTCTCAAGATTTCTGGCGTTGCTGCTAACTGGTGCTTGTCGTTGTTATTGTTGGCTAAGAGTCTCCATCAGCTCTGTCATCTGTTTATTCAATGGAAGTACCGTCTTCACTGCCTCCTACGTCTACTTGTTGGTTTTAAGCTATATATATATACATGTGCGTCGGTGACACGGCGGTTAGGACTCTCGCCGACCATGCAAATAGTTCCAGGTTCGATCCCCTACTGACCTACACCTAATATCAGTAGGTCGGCATGCAAAATTTGGGCTACCGACGTCACATGCTGAAAATTTCATACTTGTACCAAAAATACGGTGTAGAATCAAGCTATAATCAAAAAAGAATTAAATTTTCGAAATTGTGCGAAATTAGGCATAAATGACACCTCAAAATTCAAATTTCCTAGTGTCATTTAGCCAGTCCAACTCATCCTCTACTCTTTATAACATTATTGCGTCCATCACAATGAGGTGAACCATCGGTGATAGTAGAAACTGCTGCCTTACTGCTTTATTCATTTCAGTGGCTTCTCTGAGCTTTCCATTGTGATGTGCGGCATCATCACCATAAAGCTGTTGAAAACTTTAAATATTGAGATCACCCCGCATGATCTGCTCGAAACTATAATCTGCAATGAAGAATGCAAACAAGAAAATAGTTAACAATCAATCACTGATGCTTTCTAACCAGCTGACCTTCACTTTGATGGACTGTAAAATTGATTTTTCAAGTCAGAATATCAGAGTATCCTTTTTGTGCTGTAAATTCTTTCTACCTCCTGCGTCTACAATATTTTTCAAAAAAATATTTTATCTCTTCAACATTATTTTCACTTTTTTTAGCAAACTACTGATATTGGCTGAAGTTCAAGCTCCATTAATCGATTTTGAACCAAATCATATTGATTATAATGAATGTTATTGGAATATACCAATCACTAAGATTATAACTGTTACCAATTTAAATTTACTTGAATGTGATTTAGAATGGATCGATGTAAGTATTTCATGCAGTATTTAAGCTTTCATAATTACTAATAAATTCTGATATGGTGAAAATACTCATTCAGACATCTAGAAAAAACCAAAAAATTAGGCAAAATATCCTTTTCGATAATTTCCTCTTCTGGATCTACAATTATATTTATGTTTATATACATAGAATATTTTAGAATAGTCATTAACAATATTGGTGTATTTTGATTGGACACTAGTAACTAGTGTGACGTGTCTAGTCCTTTCTTTGGTGCAGATTGAATTCTATCAGTCAGATTTCGCAGTGTGGCCACCATTCTAGGTAGCTCGCCACGTAACACTAGGTACTAGTGTCCAATCAAAATACCCACTACAGTCCTACGGGAGGTCAATCCCGAGCTCGAATAGCTCAGTGGTAACGTCACTGACTGCAGCACTGGGTGATGCATGTTCGAATCTCAGAAGGGACATGAGTTCTTTCAAGGTTGCAGATACGCCTCGCTGATGAGTGCTAACTAACACGAAACCTAGGTCCAAGACTTCTGGCAATAGCCCCAAACTATTTAATATCAGTGTTTTTAAACTGATATCGATTTCTAAAGTTTGATCAATGGAATTACAGTTCATTAAAGATGCCCAAATAATAATAATAATAAAGATATAATAGCAAAGAGAATATCAACTAAAATCAAGGAAATTTCCACAAAAAGTGAGAATCATTCAAACCTTGATGGCCAAGGTTAGGATAATGTCTGAACTACCTTCCTTTGGACTCATAAATTAGGCTTCTTAATGTAGATCCCAATGGCCTCAGCAATATTTAGTAAACGAACGCTTAAGGTGCAGTTAAGATTTGTGGGTATGCGGTAAATGACTCTGTAAGCCTGGTTACCATCAATCTTATGTTCTGTATCCACAAGATGCGATAGAATAGAACCCTGACTCTGTAGATTACTTTGAAGCAGGAGGTGTTTTTTGAGATGGAATGACCAGGTGCTCAATTATAGCACTACTTATTGCACCACTACTGCCTTTTCACAACCATGCTGGATAGTGTTCCTGCGAAAGGTAATAGTGATGCAATGAGGAGTGAGATAATTGAATTCAAGAATAGCCTACCAAAAGCAATACGACTTAGTCTTCTTTGTATCGCTGAAGCTTTGGCCATTCACTTAGAAAAATTGGGGCTGCACATACAAAAGAGAATTACTCAGCCACTTCTACTATCATGGTAACAACTTTGTTGATTTTTGATGACTCAATTTTTTTGTTGCCTGTTTCTTTAATTGCTCATAATTCCTGTATTCATTTTGAACTCTTACGTAATTTCACACTCCCTACTTTGTTCCTATGTGAATCCTGAGTACAACTCAATAATCAAACTTCATATTATTAGTTAATTTCCTCCTTGACAACTGTTTGTGACAACTCACCACCTTTGTTTCTACCCTAATTCACTACCACCCAATTTTTTTGACCGATTTTGTTTTACGTAATTCCAATTACCAATCTTCACCTGTTTAGTTAAAACAACTATAACAGATTTTATTTTTGTTTGACAAACGTAATGTACACATACATACAAAATAACCCACATATATATTTGCGATTGTACAGCTAAGAAAATGAATTCGCCGAAAAGCGACTCTTCACTGAACTACGTGTTTTGTTTTCATTAATTTATTATCAAGCTGTACAATCGTATAAACATATATATTGTATTTTTAAGAAATTATATCTGCTGAGGTAATTGAATCATAGGTGTGAATGCATAAAATAATAGTAGTAGTATGAAATGCAATTAAAATATTCGTCTTTATAATCATAGTTAAATGTCAAGTGGCAAAACAACTGATGTCATATATAGAATAATTCATAGGATGGGTAGAGCTTGAAAGGGATGTGCAATTATAGGATTAGTTGGCAAATCAAATAGAGCAGAAATAAAAATTTTACGTAACATTGTGTGAAATTTGATAAGATAGAATTTAATGTTGGAAAACAGAAGTTATTTAGAATGGCAAGTGGGCCGAGTGAAATAATACCTGGGATATTTCGAAGTGAGAATGCTAATAGTAATAATAATAATACTAACAATTGACTTAATAAAGATAGAGTATGCAAACTCAATAAACAGAACAAAAACATTATTGTTGTTAATAACACTATTATGTATATATAACTGTAGAGCCTGATGAAGAGCAGGTTATCGAAAAGAGTATTCTTTGTTCAGTAACCATTCTTTTGAAGATTATATTTTAATTTTATACAATACATGAATTTATTTTTTACCCTTAGCCTGTTGGAAAAGATAAAGAATGGGTCACCGTGAATGTTACACCAAAGTCCTTTCGAATCAGTGGTCATCAAAATCAGAAGTGTGAAGTTACATTATGTGCACATAAACAAGTAATTACGTTTCCTGTTTATTCATTATTATTTATTTCAGTTTTTTTTTCAATGAGCACTTGGTTACAGTTGATGAGTACAATATATGTTACAATATTCATAAGATGCAATAAGCTCTTGACAATCATTGTCTTTGAGTCTGAATATAGATCATATTGTTAAATTCGTGGCTTTATTTTACTGACTGACTGATTGGTTTCAACATAGAACTTTGCTGCGCTGATGTACAGCAGTTCGAATCATCACTCTCTATGTAGCACACAAAGCAAGAGAAGAAGGAAGTAAAAAGAAACACAAAATAGAGACAGTACAGACAGATATGAGGAAAAGAGTTTTATTGGATATTATAAGTCACAAGGAGTGGATTCATCTGTACTAGCCATTGACAACGAGCATTTTGAGCCATATCACCAATTATCTCAAGCCTTCATTGGTTTTTACCGTCCCGAGGACCTTAACCAAGAAGCCAGTCTACACCTTCCTACATGGCTTAAACTAACTGTTGTGGATTTCATCGACTGATGAAGCAGTGTTTTGGTTTGACCACCACCCACTAGCTATTTTCCAGTCTGATCAATCTTATGTCAGCCAACATTGCCTGTTGTCGAGGAAGGCGTGCGTAACACATGTCCTAACCATCTCAATCGATGTCACTTCACAGACTCATCTATTGATTTCCCCTCCTACCTACCTAGCACTCAACCGATGCCTAACCTCAATATTGCTCACGCTATTACACCTACCACTTCACACGTGAGATAGAACGCAGGCACCTATGATCAAAAACAGTTAACAAGCCAGTCAGGCTTTTCATGTCTTCCATTTGCAATGGCCAGGTCTTGCTCACAGACAGCCATAAAGAAGGAGGATGGGGTGGACTGCTGAGCAGTGCACACGGCTTTTGTTCGTTAGCCAGCCGGATATCACGTCTACTCAGCGAGAGAAGGCGTAAACTGGTATATGCGAAACTAGCCTTCTGTTTCCATGCTGAGATTTCGTCAGCGTTCAACCCGTTGGCTTTGGCTGTTGCAACTTTCCACACGCTCCACTGACTACTTCACTCCCTATTTCTAAGTTGGGAGTGAGTCAATGTGGTCCAGCCCTGTAGTATCACACCGTTTTACATTTGGCTGGAGCGAATCGCATGTCAACCATTCGTAGATTGCAGCTCAAAGTGTACAGAAGACTCTGCTTTATTTTGTCAGCGTCTTCAATTAGATGGACTATATCATATCATCTGCGTATTTCAAGTGAACGAGATTACACCCTGGTGACAAGCCAATCTGTATTTTTCTGAAGTGAGTTATAGTTAAGTCCATTAGTACATCTCTGATGAAATTGAATAGAAATGGGGATAGTGGGCATCCCTGACGGCCACCACTTCAGATGGCAACTCGCCGTAAGCCGTCACCTGGCTGCATGAGTTCGAGTAGAGTGCCATGATCAGTGCAATGTATTTTTTCCTTTATTTGACTCGTCGCCATAATTAAATATCTCATTTTGATATACATGGCGACACAGTAATATTTATTCATAGACCGTCTGAAATTCCATTTTTTTAAAATTTTTGATTTGATTAAATTGAATGTGACACATCAGTTTTCAGCACACCTTAGCTAGCTGTTAGGTAGGTTGCAAAAAGTAGGCCTTGTATTAGATTCTACACAAGACCGATGAAGAAATTCAATCCAGGCAGAATAAGGATCTTCAAGAGAGAAGGAGAAGTTTGAGAAAAACATGAGCTAACCATCCATGAAACACATGGGATTTGTGTATATATTCAATGGGGATAACAGTTAACAAAATGATGAATCGACAAAGGCAAGTCAGTTGGAAAATCGAAACTGGAAATAGAGTGGCTTTTCATGTTGAAATGTGCTAATCCAATGTTTTCATGTGGAGCCCATATGCATCACGTGACTGAAACTAAGTGGCACCATTCCCAGTTGAACTGGCTAGCTCATTTGTTGTTTTTTTTGTCTGAGTCTACTGCAGTAATTTGGTATTTGGGCAGAGAAAGAACAAACATTGATGCAGAATAACATGGGTCGACTATATCTCGTTGGTTCTCATCAGCTGCATACAACCCATAATCTTAAAAAAAACATTAGGATGATAAGGTTTATATATACATATCTTGTTAGGGAGAAGTTTCCGACAAATTTGTTGTCAGGGCGATAGTAAAAATTAGTAACAATTACGTGGTTGAATAAGAGACCGATATTTTGATGTAGTTGTGTTCTCTGAGTTACTGGACGTTTTATTGAGAAACTTTCATTGCCCTACTAGGCAACATCCTCACCTCAGTGCATACTTCAATTTTTTGAAGTGAGATTTTAGATTTCTCCAAATGTTTATTAGTCATCTCTCCTGGTGACCTGGCCTTGAATGTGATTCGTTGTTTTTGTGTGTTTTCACACACCTTCTAGGCTGCTGCTTGTATTGGTATCGGTACTGATTGCTTTCTTGACCCGGAGTTTGACCTTTCGTATATGAAATTTCCTTCTTATAGATGGGTCAATGTGTGTCTATTATTAACTGACGATTCACTAGAATACCACCAGTCTTCTAAAACAATTCTCTAACGTTCTTGGTGTCGTTTCCTCTGTCTAATGTTTGAATGGTGGTTTGGCTGTCCCAGTCGAATTGATGTCCGTGGTTGTCTGTATGCAGCGATATGAGGGAGTGGATGTCATGTCTTTTGACGGCTAGCATATGATCATGGATGCGAAGATGAAGGGGACGTCGTGCACTTTGGCCACTGTAGTGTTTTTCGTAATCGTTGCAACTTATTTTGTACCAGTAGCGTAGAGGGCGAGAAAACACACAAAAACAACTAATCACGTTCAAGGTCAGGTCACCAGAAGAGATGACTAATTAACTCGTGGATAAATCTGAAAGCTCACTTCAAATTGAAATGGTATGCGCTGAAGACGTTGCCTAGTGAGGCAATGAAAGCTTCGCGATAAACCACGCAGCTCAGAAAATACAACTAAATCAATAATTATCGACCTGTCTAACAGGTGTTTGGTAATTGAGGAGCTTCAACTGCTTGAATCTCTTAACGAGAAGCTCCGTGTTACATGTTCAAGGAATCTGACGTAAGCCCTTCTCTCTGTTCTTCTAATGTAACTGTTACGTTGTCTGCGTCAAACAAAGGACTAAACTCATGACACTAGTTAGTACCTAATTTCCAGTCAAAATAGCCGCACCAAGTTTTGCAAAATCTGAAACAACAAAAGATAATTTCTCTTGAAGACATTATGCAATAATAAACAATAATAAGAATCGATAAAGTGTTCATTCCATCATTGTGAGTGAATTGGAGAATGTTTATCAGCTACGTCAATCTGTTTACGTTCAGCACGGACCTAAACGGGAAGATATAGCAATGTATCAGTAAAATCAATGTCCAAGCAACGATACATTATTAATGAGTGTACCATGATTAATTTGGTGTTTTATCACCAAATTCAGAAGAAATTTACACATTTGACTAATTTCTTAGATTCAGAATTACGCAATAAGAAATGTAATGGCTATTTTGTATTAGGAAGACTTACAGATGAAAAGCAAAATACTAACAGATGAGGCGAGCAGCGAAGACAGGACTGCAGGTGAACATAAAGAGGATGAAAGTGATGAAGACAACCAAGGAACCGCAGCAACAACAACAACCAGCACCAGTCACCATCAACGGGGGAGATTTAGCAGTGGTTACCTCGTTCACTTATCTAGGAAGCATCGTTCCAACCCCAGACGGAATAGATCAAGATATCAAGGCCAGAATCGCGAAATCAAGATACGCCTCCATCAGCCTGAAACCAATTTGGAGATCTTGTGTACTTAGCCAGCATAGAGAACAAGATTCGCACTTTCAACACCAATGTCAAGATGGTCATTGTTTTTATGCGGATGAGAAACTTGTACTGCATGTCGCCAAAAGCATTTCCAACAGGTTTCAGACTTCCATGAACATTTGAACACTTTGCTGGCTGGTTGCATACTGAAGATCGAATGGCCAGCCGGCCGGGGAGAAAGAACTAGTAACAAGAAACTCTGGCTGGCAACAAACCAACAAGCAAGAGCCGATCGCTCAACAAATATATAGGAGAAAATAGAGATGGATCGAGCATATGTTGTTGAGGAGGCCATCGAATGACATGGAGGCCATCGATAGAGTGGAATCCCGATGCGAATCGACGAGTGGTTCGTCGGTGCGAGGTTGACATGGAGGAGATCGTGTGAGGAAGAGATGAGAGAGATTGGTCAATCGTGGACCCAGATGAAGAGGATGTCAGAAAATAGACCATAGTGCATATGGGTTGTTGAGTCCCTATGTTCCACTCGGAACCCAAGTGAATAATAATAGTACTACAATAATTTTGTATTAGGAAAGAGCCAAGAATACAGATGGATAGTCAGTTTTTAAAGTCAATATTTGAGTTATTTTTTCTCATACCTTGAACGTACACACACACACACGATATTACTGGAACTCTTTCATTATATAAAAATTTCTGAATTTTCTAATATTTTTCAGGCTCCAGTTAAAGATCTTCGTATTCCACTGCGTGTAGACGGATTAAATGATTTCTTATGGTTGTCTATAACAGCCAGAGTAAATGGACTGTCATTGAAATATCATCTAATTAATTCAGATGACAAGTACGTTCTACCCAGTAAAAAAATATTATACTCAACAGATTTGAAATATTAATATATGTGTAAAACTTGGGCACTGTGGTAGTAAGTAATTCCATATTAGTTTGTTTATTAAGTATATCACACAGTGAATAAACAGTATTATTTACTGGATGACGAGGTTTCGAATACAATTCATTGCGGTTCATAATCATATCAATTATAGTGACATGACTTCGAAACTTGAGTTTTATAGTTTTCTTTGTTCTCCCCATTTGTCGTCATTGGGGTAGTAAAATTTTCCAGATATCTGGGTGGACAGATGTTGAATCATTCCTATTACACGTGTTGGTTTGCAGTTGTTTCGACAGACAAAGCTCCTGTTATCAATCTCTCCCTCCACCCTGTGGCATTAGATTTTAAAACTCTCATCCTATCTCGCCATCCTATTGCATGGTTGTGTGTAATTGCATGTAGTGAGTGGTATAGCTGAACTATTCTCTAGATTTCTTATCGTATTCGGGTCAACCAATCTAGATTTGGCTAGGTTTTTATGCTCGGCTAGTTTGACTGCCCCTGTTCTACTACTTTGACATATGTATTTTACCTGACAGTCATCTTTTTATTCCATCACGTTCCCAGTGGAACATAGGGCTTCAGGCTAGAGGCTTGAAGTTTCTGTAGCAGTGTTTATTTTTACAGGATGGGGTTGCTAGCCTCATGCCCAACCTTTCCTCTTTACCATATTTAGTACTGGCTTAGCGAGGTAAAGAAGTGCGCCGGCCTGACAATCACTGAGGCAGCATATTAGATAAACTGAATTGTTTTGTTTCATGGGCTAAACAGAGCTGATCCTTTAACCGACAAAGCTTGTTTCTAATTGAGTTTGTGGGTTTAAATGCCAGCCACTTTTATTCCTGCCTTGTTAAGAATTCTGCATAAGGTTTCCGAGGTTCCTTCCTTGTATGGAATTACTACTGATGATTTAGATTCCTTATTGTTGGTGTTGTCACTATCCTGAGCACGTTTAGCATGCATGTCGTCATTAATATTATTATGACTATCACTACTATTATTATTCGTTTTATTTTTACATTTCCGTGCATACTTCCTGATTAGTTTATCAGGGTAATGATTAAGTTTCAAAGATTCTCTTATATGACTCACTTCCTGTCTTAGATTTTCGTTGCTACTACGTAGTTTTCGTGCTCTGTCCCTTAAACCTTCCACCAATCCTATTTTCAGTGGCATAGGATGGGATGATCGGGAGTCCAAATATCTGTTTGAATGTGTCGGTGGGTTTCCTGTAAACACTAGTGTTTCACTTCCCATCTTCTTTCCTTTTTACGTTATAATCTAACATCGGAAGTTCCCCCGCTTCCTGACTTTCCAAATCCTAAGTGAATTGAATTGCCTCCACCTTTGAGGTAATATGTTCGAAAAATCTATGTATGTCTTATGTTGTAAGTACAGTGAATGTGTCATCTACATACCTCCACAATACTTTTGGGGTGGGTGTGAACGTTTTAATCGCTAAGTTTTCACACCTATCCCTGAATATATCTGACTCAACCGGGGATATTGGTGACCCCATGGCAACTCCCTCAGTTTGTTTGCATATTTTCTTCTGGAATTTAAATACTGTGGAAGTCAGGCATAGCTCCATTCCCAGCACTATGTCCTCAAGTGGCACTTTCGTCCTAAGTTCGAGTTCTTGGTCAGAAATCAGTTCGTTTCTGACTGCCTCTACGGACATATTTATTGCTATACGTGTATATAAACGTGAATATTTACATGACTTCCAAGTCGCGTGATGACAATTGATATGAATATGAACCACAATAAATTTTGTTTGAAACCTTGTCATCCAGTAAATAATACTGCTTCACTCACTGTGTGATGCATCTAATAAACAAACTAATGTATATTTGAAATATGTTAGAAACGGAGGCATTTTACCTTGAAGTTCTTGTGAATAAATAATCCAGACCATTTGTATTCGTGATTACTCAGTATCTTCACATTGCTTTGAGCTCCAAGGTTTATGAATGAGTAGGCCGGAAGTCATATTGCCAGTGAACATTCTTCCAATGAACCAAAAAATCCGTATACTCAGTAGTATTATTAGTACCATAATAATAATAATAATAATCATGAGATCATAAATGTGTTAACATCCTCTAAGATCCGCAATGTACCCTCGCAGTATAATAATAATATTTTGCACGAATCGGTTACCAGATGGTTAGTAGTGTAGGTCCCTAGTTAATCAGTGTGATCTAGGATGTTTGAAAGGAGTTAACCAGCAGGATATCCTGTATCCATGTTTCATGTTTTTTTAACACTGATGAGAAGAACACACCTATGTCCTTGTAGGTAATCTTACCTCCACCTGGAATTGAACCTGAATCACTCTCCACTGAACACTCAGCTCTCCTACCTCACAATGTTTATCAGGCGAAAACTGTTTCTGGATAAGAATGGGTGACGGGCACCATTGTATTACTGGATAATAGATAATGCCATTGTCTAACCTTAAATTGAATGAAATGCCTAAAATAGAAAAAAATATTGGAAAGGTATGACACAGTTTTGGGGACAATTGATTGAAGCCGGATACACCCTAATTTCGGAATGGCTTCTTGGTTGGTGTCTGTACGGAGAACTTACAGTCAGCTGTGGACCACCGTATGCGTAGAATACATAAAGTGAAATACTAGTTTTGAATTATGATACTGGTCAGTGATTTTATAGAAGCATCATGCAGGTTATATATTTTCTTCGACATGGCAGTTGTTTTTATAGGAAGCTTTCATTACCACAGGGAATCATGTAGAGATTTCCCTACTATTTTAGTGTCATGTTTTGCTCTTTCAGAAATATATTTAATGCGGTTTTGTTTTGTTCTCAAAAACTGAAGTAACGCGTACAACGTCTAATTCATCCTGCTCCATGCTAACAACATTCCAACGTATTCACGTTTCCCTCCACATTTCGATATATTTTAGACATTTGTTAAGAATAAGTCATACCTAAAAGGGATACAGAGTACCCATCGTATTAGATGCCGAGAAACTGTGTTTTCTACCATGGCTATCAATACTGAACATTCGACACTAAGCCTGAGTTCTGCAGATTGGAATACCGCTTCGTGTAAATCACGCTGAGTGGCAATTTACAGCCTGGAATTTTCAGCGTTTGTTTTACATACTGCAATGGTTTAGCTCTGTTTATAATTATATACAGGTATGAAATGTTAAAAATATTGATAATTAATAGGAAAAAATAAAATCCCCAACAAAATCACACCATTTCTAGGTCATAGTGAATAATAAATAAATTATATAACAAATCACACATGCAATAATATGGATCATTACATTTTATAGTTTAGTTAATGATTTAAAAGTTGTAGAAGTTCTCCTCTGATATTCGTCTCTTCACACAATACTCGTGCCAAATATGGTACGGTCGAATTTTTATATTTTGTAATACGAGCATAAATGTTTATGAAATTTCTTCTGGTCTTACCCGAAGAGATACAAGGAAACAAATGTGAATAAAGAGGATGTTCACTATCAGACAAAATAACTTTAGCTAAGTGTTTACAAGAATTCATATGCCTATTGACAACAGTGTCGGTTAGTTGAGCCAAAGGGATAGCACTGACCCTACTTACAGCCCTCAATGTTCTTCGTAGTATTATATGGTCTTTTTTGAGTAGCCCAGGGAAGAATAATGGAGAACGATAAAGAATGATGGGCAAAACACATGAATTAATAAATTGTATGAGAAGAGATTGGGTTATACCTGAGTGCCTCAACTTCTTTATGTAATAAGTCAGACGGAAAACTTTCGTAGAAACTATAAGAATGTGAGACGACCAGCAAAGGTTTGAAGAGAAACTGATGCCAAGATAAGAAACACTTGACTTACTCTCTATCATGGTACCATCAATATTACAACAATCATGAGATTGGATCAATCCATGCATGTCTTTTTCACTTCTCAAGCTGAAATCAACAGTATTACATTTAGTTGGATTTAGTTTAAGACCATTTGAGCCAGACCAATCCTTAACTTCAGCTAAGAAGCCATTCACATGGGAACAATGCGATGTGGAAACTACAGGGACAGAAACGGTCAGATCATCAGCATACTTAATGAAGTGTACTTCACCCTAGTATAAGTAAAGTCTGTTCTGGGATTTTCGTATGAAGATCTGAAATCAATATGAAAGTTTATGCTACACTCGGAACAAAGAACAGGATTCGAATCTTGAACACTAGTGCCAATCCAGTGCAACTATATGCTTCATAGACTCGAAAGATCACGAGAAGCATTTCCTACAGGCTACCACAGACTTCCGTCAATAACTGTCTTCTCTCCATACTGAAGATCAGATGCATGAAATAAGCAGCATCAAGGGACACTGGAGACTAACTAACTGACAACCTATTGGGTAAAAAATGCTAAAAGTAAATGCTGATGCGGTGGAAATATACTGAGAAGATCGCCGGATGACTTTACATGCCAATCCTTATAGTGGAACCCGAACTGAAGAATAAGAGTTGCTCGATGTTCACAGGATGACATGTCGGGGGTCACTTGAGGAGATGGAGCTTGTTGGTGATCTTGGAAACAGCTGAAAAGGCCTGAAGAGGACAGTGTAGCGGATATCTGCTGCTGAAACCCTATATTCCACCAAGAATTTAAGGGTTTTATAATGATAAAAATAATGGAAATTAGAGATTTTAATAAAATTGAGATACATCTAACTGTAATAACTTCATTTCCGCACTAACAAATGGACTTTTACAAAAAAATTTCATTATTCTGTAACTCATTTTCACATTTTATGATGCCATTTTAGAGCTGATGAAAGCGAAGTGAATTCACAAGAATACTTCACTGTTATGTCTGATATCAACAGTAAAATTCTTGTTATCAATTTCGGAGAAAATGTTGGTCTCTTTGAACCAGTTGAAAAATGGATTGAATTTAAAAATGATACCCCAATACCAACTAGAATATGCATAGACATGGGTAATCTATCAACGAAAGTCAACTATGCAGATTATAATTATAAACCTGAACTTGGTGCAAAACGATTTTTAAAGTTAACAAATCAAACTACTGATAGTTCTTTAAGTAGACGAAAATTATTGTTATTAATGGCAGAAAAGGAGTGTAGAACCGAGATTAGGAACTTATACGGTAAGTTTAATAGAAATAAGTTGTTTCTTTTTATATCTTTTATATCTTTCTGACACTTATAGGCCAAGATGAGAGGTAAGACGAAACACCACTGTTTCGTTGATATTTACCGAAACATTCAAATTAAAGCGCTTTAATTTGAAATCTAATACTTCAGTGTGGTATGATTTTGGGTGTTGGTTTTCTGGGATTTGACTGGTTACGGGATTTCATCGTGAGCTAAGGTCGGTTAGAGAGCCACTAAAAAACCTGAGAGGACTGAAAAGCTGTTTCGTGGATGCATGCTGTTGAAGATTCACAAACTAGGATGAAAAATCGCCAGAATTCGTGCCCAAGACCGTTCAGTTGCAAGGCGAGCTCATACACCATTAAGTCACTGGGACCTGATCGGGTGAGTAATTCTGGAGAGTTTCGAACTAGGATGAAACAGCTGTCTGGCAGTACTTCCAGGTTTTCTAATGGTTGTCTAGTCGATGTCAGCTCATGATGAAATCCTGTTTAATTATAGGGTTATATTCATTAATGCTGTACATGCTTCTGAGTGGATAATTAATACGGATACAGTTATGTCCAAATCACATTTATGTTACCCGGAGAAAATATAAGCTACACCTAAGTGATAGTGTTATTCACTAATTAAAAGATGATAACATTTGAAAGAATATCTGTCAATGTTTCCTCGGACTAAAATCTCGATCATATTTCTCATGAATTGGATTTTGTTTTTCACTCCGTCTTTGTTTATGGTCGCGAGACATGGTATGGTGAGAGCTGTCTGCAAGCCGAAATTGTAGACGACAATTTGCGTCAATGTTCACGTTCCAAATCGGGATCATTAGAAAAAACCAATAACAAAGATTAACCTTGAGGAACTAACCAACTAATCACAGCGGACTTAACGTGTGCAAATACTATTCACAGATATATGGCTTAACTTTATAAGGAACTTTCACAAGCAGTACAGAATAACCTTCAGCAAGAAGACAACCAATCAGAAGACGTTGCTTCTCCACTGACAATAATCTACATAAATATCTGTTGATTTTCTCAATAAAGGATCTGTTGCCTGGCCCTTGTTTTCTGCCGTTACAATGACAGTTAAGGTTCACAGATATAGACAAGTCGGCCATTTTTTATCATAGGTATTTGTGTTACATCTCTCATGTTAAGAGGTGTAACATGTTGACTGATGATAGGTTTAGGTTTATTGGATCAAGTAAGGAGGGGAAGTAAACTGATGGGGTTGTGGAGCTGCATCGACTAAGATAGCTAGGACACATGTTGCGCATTTTAAGCCCTCGACCTAGTTTTTGAGTATTGATGGCCGACTCAGAATTAGGTAGGAAGGAAGTTATGGTTGGTGAAACTGAAATCTGTCACTAGTTCATAAACTCCTTAACTGTTCGTCTTAGCCTCATAGACGGGTGTAGACTGTATGGCTAGAGTCCTGCAGACGCTAACAACCCACATATAGAGACTATTGGTGGCAGGACTCAAAGTTTTTCTGAAAAGTGCATATACATTCACTATTTACTAATTCATAGGTCGATCGGATTCTCATAAGCTTTCATACAATTATTCTTTCTCCAGAGCATTTCTGTTCATTATATTACCTTTCAATTTTCCTCTCTCTGCTGTGTGTTCAAATCTCTCTTTGTCGTCTTTAGGACAGGCTTGTAAACTATGTTTTATCATTATTATTATTCTCTTGAGTTCCGAGTGGAACATAGGGTTTCAACAACTCATCTCCACTTTGTTCCATTCTATGCTGTATTCTTTAACTGGGTCCATGATTACCCATAATCTTTTATCTCTTCCTCACATATTCCGCTATACCTCACCCTCGCACCGACGACCCAGTCGTCGCTTCCTATTTGGATTCCACTCGAGTGAGTGAGCGCGATGTCATTCGACGGTTTCCTCAATATATGCTCGATTCATACCCATTTTCTCCTACATATTTGTTGAGCAATCGGCTCTTGTTTGGTTTGTTCCTACAATTTCTAGCTAGGCGAGGTTTTCTAAATTATATGATAGTTAGAAATGCGTCAGCTGTGAATGGAACTTCGAGTATGTTTGGTGAGTATTCTGTCATTGAGCCATCAACGCCACCATCATCAATAAAAAGAATTAATGGTGTTTATGACGTTTGTTTCCCTTGACTTATGAGTTTTAGTCAATATAAAATTCAAGGTGTCAATTTACAAATTAATTCGCTATTTTCAATTTATGCGATTCGCGATGCAGTTTCACCATTTTTTCTTCTCTGGAAACCAAAATTAATCGAATCACAATATTTGACCTACTTGTTACCGTAAATGTTGATCATGAAAGCAAACTGTGTCCTACTGGCTGACCATTATGAGTAGTTGCACCATTTAGCAGTGCTTACTAGCCAGCTTTGTCGAAGTAAGTTGAACACTGGATAACCATTTCTCCTTGTTCAAGAAGAAGCTCAACTGTAATTTACTCTGTTTGACTCAACTCAGGAAGAGCCAAGTCATTTCAAACTACTCGATGTTGAATTGGTGAAAGAGTCTTCATATTCTCCTTTCACACACAGTTTTAGTATCCTTTAGCCAATTTAATACTTTATGAATTAGAATCCTCTCATTATTAAGTTCAAATAATATACAAATAAATTAAATAAAGTATAATTACATATTTCAATAGTTTACACACAATGATAAGTTTTGTTATTGGTATTATTTCGAGAAAAATTACTGCCCATGTTCATACCACTGTTGGAATTGTTTTGTTCACACAGTTATGATTTGTACTCATATATATACTCTGGTTGTTGTTGTAAGTCTACGTATTCTATCTGCAAGATCTTGTATTAATCCTCGTTTTACCGTGAGTGGATGAGCGCAAAGAAATAAATGTCCTATTCAAAATGCTACTCGACAACAACTACCCAAAAGAATTTATAAAAGATAATGTAAAGAAGAGAAAAAAGACGGCAAAACCGGAGAATGACAATACTGAAGAATTCAAAAAAAAACAGTCACAATAGCATATAAAAATGGTACATCAGAGGCAATTCGAAGAAACCTCAAAAATACTGGGATTCACACAACGTTTAGACCAACGAATCTAAATAAAAATAAGATAAATCAACTGAAAGATCCCATAAAAATGATGGATAAAAGTAGTAATGTAATTTACAAAATATCTTGTGCTGACTGTTCGACTAAATATGTGGGTCAAACGTCCAGATCACTCAAAATAACAGTGAATCAACATAAACGCCTAACTAAAGGTCATCCAACAAGAATCTTGAAAAAAATTCATCTATAACTGCACATGCATAGGACAAATCCACAATATCGATTGGAACAATGTTTGTATTCTAAAAATTAATATGAACAAATGGAAAGAGAGAATTATAACAAAATCTGTATTCATTATGGTCACACCGGATACATGTAACAAGGGTGACTCGGCAGCACAACTGTCAACAACCTGGAATGTATTTCTGAATACACAAAAATGAATGAACAAAAAAAATGAACTATATATATGAGTACAAATCATAAATGTGTGAATTAAAACAAAACAATTCCAACAGTTGGGGTGTGAACATGGGCAGTAATTTTGCTTGAAATATTACCAATAACAAAACTTATCATTGTGTGTAAACTATTGAAATATGTAATTATACTTTATTTGATATTTTCCACAATGCTGAAACGTTTTACTGACATAAATAAACACAAATAAATTATTATGCAATTAGAATATTCGCTTTTTTTCGTTTTGATTGGAGATTTTTATGATGAGCTGATATCAGTTAGAGAACCATCGGAAAACCAACAGGGAGTACTGGACAGCTGTTTCGTCCTGGTTTGGGACTCTTCATCCCGTACTCACTCACTGCTGTCCCAAACTATGACAAATGAGCTATCCAGTACTCCCAGCTAGTTTTCTAATGGGTCTTTAACTGATGTCAGCTCATGATGAAATCGTCCAACCAATCAAACAATAATCTCTACAAAAAATCAATCCTTGAAAATCATCCCATTTCTGTTTTTAGATTGGTGCAATTCAATACTGAAAGGCTCCAAAGGTGCTTGTGTACTTGCTCATTCAGCAATTTCATCTTCCTCCAGTGATCAAGCGTCAGATTTTCAATTAGCTAAGCATCATTTAGTTACAATCAATACATGCCAATCTGAAACGTTGATTATGCCATCTTGGTGTTTACCTAGCTATGGTTATCTAAGAATATGCTTCATATGTATAGCCAATTTGTGGGGTGCATATCAAGACAGTATACGTGTCTACGTATTTCCGGAGTTTAATATCCCAAGTGAAGTTAGTTTACCACACATAAAAATGCCAGTCAGATTCAAAGTAATTGGATGTCCAGTATATTCTATTGCGACAGGTCATTTTGGTCAGTTATCTAATACTGTATTGACGTCGATGCATCATAATAAATTAGGCAGTAATGATATACTCCCCAAAACCGCTTTACCACTTACAGCTACCCGACAGTATATCCGATTTGGTAGTGTTTTGTACAATGGACCAATTGTGAAACGGAAAATTCGTCTACATAATTCATGTGGGACAGGTTGGTTAACTTGTGTTTAAACACATCAGAGTTACATTCACAATTTTTTTATCTCCAGTTATATATATGTCCAAACCAAGTTCACTTTTAACAGTTTCAAAAAAATTTGGGCATTGGGTATATGATATTCATTATGATAAAGGTGTTTTTGTATTTCCCAATGAATGAAAAGCAAATCGATATTGTTGTGTTTACTGACGTTTCGCTATTCAATGCTGCTAACAGCTTTATAAAAGCAGTAAAATTAAACCAGAATTTGCAAAATCCACTCAGCTTATATATAACAAGTTAATCATCGTTCCTCAGCATGGGGACATTTTTGCGTTATCAAGTTGGCCAATTGGTAAAGATAACAAAACCAAGTGTAGATTGTTGGATTTGATCAGTGTGTAAAATTATAAAAGCAGCGTGTGTTTACATAATGGAATTGCTTAACACATTCCTGTTGATTTTGTGATTTCATGGGGAAGGGTGGTTTCGTTACCAGGTCAAATTCTGTTTTAGTTCATCGTTCCTATTCAGACAATTTGGATTCCATTTGATATGAAGTGCTTCTGATGATATGAGACGTCCTTTGTGATTTCTGAAGTGCCTTTTCTAGATGGTGATTTCAATATTGTCAAAATCAATTTTGTGGCCTGATTCTACAGCGTAGCATGTAGACCTATGGCTGACTGACGATTTTTCAAGCTTTTCCAGTTCAACTAGATTTCTCGATAGTCGAACAGATACGACTCTATGGTACTTATTTCTTCTGATTTTGATTTCTCGAGATGTTTGTCCGATGTATATCGCATCACATTACAAGCATTTTATTTTATGGACACGATTAGATAGAGGATCTTAAGGGATTTTCATTGTGTCTGATGTTTTGAAAAAACTCTGATGTTGAGCTTATTGAGTACTCCTCTGATATCGTCTGACGTCTCCGCTGTATATGGAATGACAAATGTTGAGATCCATGTGTTGGGAATACGTTTTCGATCATACTTTGTGTCAGTGTTGACTTTGTTGATAAAGTTCTTTGGGTAGCCATTTTGCTTGAGGGTCTCAATGATGTTTGATGTTTTTTCTTCTTTTTCGTTCTCACCCGTTATCATTACGGAATGTGCTCGTCTAAGAAAACTTGAAACAACTGAAACTTTTGCGCTGACGGTATGTGTTGATCCGAAGTCTAAATATATGTTAGAGTGGGTTTTCTTCCTGAATATAGATATACTAAAGTGTGCGTTTTCCCTCCTCTTAACTAGGCAGGTAGTTTAGAAATGATAGTTCACCGACGTTTGATTCTGCTTCCTAAGTAAACTGGATTCTGGGAGATAGATTGTTCACAGTTTCTCCAGGAATGAACTGTGTAGATCTTGATCTTGTCTTAGCACTACAAAAGTATCATCTACATATGTTAACCATATTTTAAGGGTGAGTGTGCTAGGTTGTGAGTCACATTAAAATATAATATGAGCTGTGTACTTTGACAGATCACAAAAGAATGAGTAATTATGTTAGCGGATCTCTAGCCTTCAGAGAGTTTCATGGAACAGTGACTATACACCTGTATTTGTAGACAAACCGCATAGATTATTGGTATTCTCCTGCCCTCTGAGTGGAAAATAGGGCTTTGAAAGCAAATATCCATTTCATGATGTTTTCTGATGGCCTTTTAAGTTAGCTCAAAAGTTCACCCTAAGCTTTCATCTTCTCTTGACACATAATCTGCTCCATATCACCTTCAGACCCATGCCAAACTTGTCGTTTCTCATTAAGTGTTTTCACTCCAGTGCTTGTATTGCACCTGGCGCCGGGTTCAGGGTAATCAAGAATGCTCTGACCCCGGTGGAGGCTCACCATTGCACCTCGGTGGGTTGAAACTTGCGACGGACCCTAATCGGGTGCGCTCGGGCGTGTAGTTCTTGGCAGTGGGGAGGCCTCCCTTTATATAATGCGTCGGTCACACACTGGTTAGGACTGTCGGCGATCATGCACATGGTCCGGGGTTCGATCCACTGCCGGCGCACACCTGATATCAATGGTCGGCCTGCGGAACTGGGCTACCGATATCACATGCTGAAAATTCCATACTTGTACCAAAAATACGGTGTGGAATCAAGCTATAGTAAAAAAAATAAAACGTTTGGCGGTGTCCTCAGTGTTTATCTGATCCATCTTCATTTCATTATGTCACATATTTATCGGGCAATAGGTAGTTGATTGGTTTGTTCCCAGAGTTTCTGGCTAACTGGTCTTCAGTATGCAGTGCTGACGAGATAACACAGACATCACCGGTGGATTACTTGATTCATTTTATATTGGTTATATCAAAAATACTATCAAAGGAATAAAGTAGATTATTATTATTTCAAGCCGGCTGCATGACTACCCATAAACGTTCGAAATGTTAGGCTTCTGTTGACACGTCTGCTCGTTGTGCGAGTGCTTCGACGATGTCTGAAGATTAACGTGAAGTAATTTAGTGGGTGGTGTCTAGTTGTGGAATCTATGATGCTCGCTTCGTCCCATTTGGGACTCGTCACTTGGATTTACTTGAATTTCTCAATGAGTCATTGCTGTTCCCACTAAAATGTCACTAATATACATCTTTTAGTACTCTTAATTGGAGAGAACTTTTATACACCATTTTGGTATTACGACTGTGATCTGTGTTAACAGTAAGTTGACAATTCATATCACTATCATCATGATCATTAATATCTCTCCTTTATTTTCTCATTTCAACAGCTATAAGAATCGATTGGCAAGTATTTCTTGACTCTGAAATTGAAGAAACTGATCAATTGCTAAATCTTTTATGTTTTATCTCAGAACCATTTCATAAATTACCATCCTCTTCATTAATTGATGACAAATCTTTAGAAAGTACTGAAAGTAAGTTTATAGCTGTAAAATAGATTATACTGTATACCGGGATGTATTTTAAAAATGTTGCGCATTATTTAAACAAGCATTCAACGTTTCAATATCTTTATTTGAAATTATCTATAAAAATAAATCAAATTATCCTCGAAAATCAAGTGTCTTAAGGTTATCTGGGGCCCATTTCAATGGTCAGTCGATGAATTCTAACTCCTACCAGTTCACGATAGAGCACGACCACTTCGCGCAATGTCTTCTACCATTAGTTATTGCATCACCTTCAACCTACTGCTCACGACTTCCCACTAGAATTCCTGATAACTATCTACCTGAATAGGGCCAGTGGCTAGTGGGCATCAGATCAGGCAGTTACCTGGGATTCTAGTGGGAAGTCGTGACCAGTAAAGTGCAGCAGTTTGAAGGCGATGTAGTAACTCATCGAAGAAGACATTCGGAATTGGTCGCGCTATGCAATAAACTGGCGGAAGTTAGAATTCATGGTCTGGTCATTGGATGGGGTCCCAGTGGCTTGATAGTCTACGAGCTCTCTAGCCTTGTAACCAGTAGGTAGTGGGTTAGAACTCACGTGGGGTGGGCGCGTACTCATGAAGAGACAGTCCCAAACTAGTGGGATGAAACAGCTGTCCAGTACTTTCCGTTGGTTTTCCGATAGTTCTCTAACCGATATCAGCTCATAAGGAATTTTTTCTATTCCTTTACGTTCCCAGTGGAACATAGGGTGGCTTCAAGCTAGAGGCTTGAAGTTTCTATAGCCACATGCCCAACCTTCTTCCTTTACCAGTCTCATTACTGGCTTAGCGAGGTAAAGGAGTGCGTTGGTGGCCAGAGATCGAACATCGGACCACATCAGGCGTGGTTGGCAAGCATCCTAGCGCTGTGCCACCAACGACGCATAATAAAGACTGCTTATCTGAATTCTCCATGAATAAATGATCTAACTGATTCTCTCTCTCTCTTGATGACTTTGGTTGTTGATCAGTTGTCAGGTGGCATTAGTAATGATCTCATTTCGTTTGACGTGAAATTCGACTGTTTTGTCACTACACCTAAGCGATAAATCTTGTGTATAATGGTTATAATTTATAAGTATAATATTAATCTCAACAAATTTGATTTTAGCATACGTGCACTGATTATTATTATTATTATGATTATTGTCACCATCATTAAATCTGATTAAGGGAGGCGTGTTTTATCATAAGGTGTAAATTCTTAATTTTGAAAAAAACCTACAGTGCGTCATACTTGTTTAATCATTTGTCTAACTGTCGTTATTTATCGCATTAGCTTCACTATTTATCACATGGAAACTGGCATGTGATATGTCGTATTGACAATAGTTAATAATTTGTAATTCTATCATCAGAATTTATATTCTAGCATTAAGTTAAAACTTGAATCCATAGTTAACGGTGTGTAGTAACGTCCGTCTATCTGACAACTAATCTCAATATAAAACCCTGTTAAAAAGGTCGTTCTGTGTGAACAAATAAGACTTTTAAACCGTTTCACTAAATTACTTCAAGGTTCCACCTGAGTATACCTTCTGGTAAACTTGAATAAAGCAATAAGAGGGTTTTTTTTGGAGAAGATTAGATGAATTACTTTTTAAAGAGAAACAACATCATCACATAAGAATTTTTCATACTACCCTGAAGAATTAATTTTATTTCATGAGGTTTTAGCCAGCTGTGTACAACGTGAATATTGAATAAAGCAAGAACAACAACAGTGGTTTGTGCAGAATAATATGGTACCATCAGTGCTTATTTCGTTGGCTTCTCATCAGTGCAGCTACTTACAACCTAAATTAATTATTATTTAGTTCATGTACAGAAACGTTTTAACATACTTGAAAATTTTAATTGGTGTCAGCTGACAGGAGGTCCCGCAATCAGTGAACAGTGCTCACATAATTACGCATATATAGTTTTAACACAGACAGTTCAAGTTTAAACAAAGTAAATATATGCATACAATGGTAAAGGAGTTACGTAATAAAGATGAGAGATGTGTAAGATGCTGAGTGACTAATAAATTAGGTAACAATGTACTTATAATAGTGCTATTACCTCGGCATTTCTTTGACACGGTTCATGAGGTGGAAATTGCGAGATCCTTTGAAATTATCATTAGACAAAGGAGCTCGATTCTCCTCAAGTTTGGCGAAGCAATTCTTATCGAACGCTTGAAACCCGATTTATGTGTTAACAAAGAAGCAATTATCAGTCTTTACTTGCTCAGCCTGGTAACTTGATGTCTTTATTCTCTCTTTCATTTGATTACGTAATCTTTGGCTTTAACCTCACCCCTCGCTTTGATTTAGTGTAATTTTGCTTGTCCCCTGATTCTATGATTTGAGTGGAACTCAGTACAATGTTACCTAATTTATTACTCACTCAGCATCTTACGCATCTCTCGTCTTTATTACGTAACTCCTTTACAATTGTATGCATACATTTATTTTGTTTAAACTTGAACTTCCTGTGTAAAAACTATATAAGCGTAACCATCTGAGCACTATTCACTAATTGCGGAAACTTCTGTTAACTGACTTCGTGAAAAGATTTGCAAGTATGTTAAAAATTTTCTGCACATGAACTTCATAATAATTTATTTATGCTATAAGAAGCTGAGCTGTTGAGAAGCCAACAAAATAAGCAATGATGATAGCATATTATTCTGCACAAACCACACTGTTATTATTGTATTATTATTATTGTTCCCTTGGGTTCCTAGTGGAACATAGGGCTTCAACTGCACGCCTCCACTTGCTTCTGTCTTGTGCTGTACTTTTCACTTGCATCCATGTTATTCCATAGTGTTTCAGTTCCTCATCACACGATCTTCTCCATGTCACCCTTGCACCGACGAAACACTCGCCGCTTCCCTTTCGGGTTCCACTCGAGAGCCTGACGCGCGATGTCACCCAACGGCCCCCTCACCGAGTGTCCAATCCATCTCCACTTTCTCCTGCATATTTGTTGAGCGATTGGTTCTTGTTTTGTTTGTTCCCATAGTTTCTTGTTGGTGATTCTTTCCAGTCATCTGATTTTGAGTACAGAACGAAGACAGTTGTTGATAAAGGTCTGCAACAGGCTGTTGGAAATATTCTTTGTGACCCGCCAAGTTTCTGATCCATCCGTATAGAAGAACTGACTTGACGTTTCTATTGAAAATCCGAATTTTGTTGTTGATGCTGAGTGACGAAGATTTCCAGGTTGATGAATGTGTTTCTCGCCTTCCCGATTCTCGATTTGACATCCTCGTCGTCCGTTCCTCCTGTAGTTGAGACGATGCTCCCTAGATAAGTGAATGAAGTAACCTCTTTCAAATCCCTCCTGTTGATGGTGATTGACGCTGGATGTTGCTGCTGTTGTTGTTGTTGGTGGTGGTTGGTTATTTTCATAACCTCCGTCTTGTCTATGCTCACCTGGAGTCCTGTCTTTGCTGCTTCTTCGCCCAGTTTGTCGGTTTTCGCTTGCAGATCTTCGATTTTGTGTGACATCAAACATAAATCATCCGCGAAATCTAGGTCTTCTAGGTTCTTCACGTCAGTCCAGGATATCCCTGTCTTCTCGTTTCCCACTGTCTGACGCATAATCCAGTCCACCACAATTAGGTATATCATTGGTGATAATAAGCACCCTTGTCTGACTCCTGTGTTTACTCCAATCGCTTCGCTGAGCTTCCATTGTGGATCACTTGGCATGTGCCGTTGTTGTACAGCTGTTGAATAAGGTTGATGAATATTTGGGGTACGCCATAGTACTCGATTAGTTTCCAAATAACTTCGCGGTCAACGCTGTCGAAGGCCTTCTCAAAGTCTATAAAGTTGAGGTAGAGGTTTGATTGCCATTCCATGCTTTGTTTTGTGATGATGATGCGTAGAGTTGCAATTTGGTCAGAACATGATTTGCCTTTCCTGAATCCAGCTTGTTCTGGTCGGAGTTCTGTTTCCAGCGCGTCCTTGATTCTCTCCAGGATGATGCGACTCAGAGTTTTACTTGGCGTCGACTTGAGCATGATTCCTCGCCAGTTCTCGCAGAGTCCTAGGTCGCCCTTCTTTGGTGGTTTCACAAGGTAACCTTTCCTCCAGTCAGAAGGCACCTCACCCTCTTTCCAGATCTTTTGCAATAATGGAGTCAGCATCTCTGCTGTCGTTTCTGGGTCCACTTTCAGTGCTTCCGGGGTATTCCATCTGGTCCAGCTGCTTTTCCAGCTTTCAGAAGCTTGATTGCATTCAAGACTTCAGCTTTCGTTGGAGGACTGGTGTCCATTTGCAGTTGTGTACGCGCTGTTGTTGGTATTTCTGGACGGGTTGCAAGTGGTGGTCGGTGCAAGAGTCCTTTGAAGTGATCCACCCATTGTTTAATCTGTCTTTCTTCCTTGGTAATTGGGTTCCCTTGGCTGTCTTTTATAGGTTTCACTTGTGTTGATCTCTTCCCGGATAGAGACTTGGTCATCTGATATAGTGTCCTCAGGTCCCTTTTGCCTGCTGCCTTCTCAGCTTCAGTGGTCAGATTGTTGTAGAATTGTCTTTTGCCCTTCCTGGCACTCTTCTTCACTTCTTTGTCCAGTGCTGTGTAAGTTGAACTCAGCGTCTCCTTCTCCTGTCCGTCTTTGCATTGAATCATTTTCTCTTTCACCATTCTCCTTTCCTCTATTAGCTTCCAAGTGTCCGTTGAGAGCCATTCCTTGTCTTGTCTCTTCTTTCTTCCTAAAACCCTTGAACACGTTTCGTTAAAAATCACCTTCAGAGAGTTCCAATGGTCTTCCACGCATGATTCCTCAGTGACGCCACGTAGAGTTTCCTGCTTTGCTCTGACAGTTGCAGTGAAAGTGTCCTTCGTGATTGTGTCCTTCAGTTTTTGAGTGTTGAACTTGCATTTCGGCCTATCCCCAGGTATCCTCGAGGCTTTTAGCTTCACCTTGAAAGTCCCTTGTACTAGGTAGTGGTCTGAACCCACATCTGCTCCTCTCCTCGATCT